TTTAGTCAGTCAAAGTTTTAAGCAATGAAATTCTATACAGTAACAGGGTTTTTCTGCGTACTGGTTAAAATATGTTGAAATTATTCCACCTATGTTTATTTCTCGGCTTTATTTATGGCTTAGTTTCAATTGCCTCTTTCAATTACTTTTCCCCCAACAGCTTATTTCTGTGCATTCAATAACAAGTTTAGGAGTTCTGTCTTTTTGAGGATCTGTAGTTACAGGTCATCCTGAAGGATTTCTGCACTATTTCACTGTGCTTATTAAACTTAAAAATGAACACTTCAAAGAAGTCAGGAATATTTTACTATTAAATCACACGTGTTTACTGAGTTTGCCTTTGGAATTGCAAAACCTTTACGTTGTTACCAGCTGATGGGTTCCCCAGTGACTGCAATCTTCGAGTTTTGATCAAAACTTAAAGAAAGAGCAATAACTAGTAATTTTAGAAAGTGTAAAGCAGCTGACAAGAGCGATACAATGCCACCGCAGCCCCTCTTGGATGAAGCAGCAAAAGCCACATAAGCATCTCTGGGGGCCGTTCCGCGAGCGAGGAGCGAGCGCTCGGTGCCGTAGGTGCTGTGGGAGCAGCAGTTCCCTGGCCAATGAGCTGGAATGCTCCGCGGGCACATGGTTTACGCCGCTCAAAATAACTTGGGACCTGCAAACTGACAAACGCGATCGCTCCGGTGGTGACAGGTCGTCCGGCTCCTCACAGCCATCCTCACAATAACCAAGGTTAACTTCCTTCGCTCCATGGACTCCGAACTGCTTCTGTTCCTGAGGACCTGAAGGATTCCCTCGCTTCCGTAGCTTTAAGCTCGCACTTCTGGATAATTGTCGCCGCTACTGACTGCCAGGTTTGGGCAGCAACATCTGGAGGAACTGAAAAAGGTAATCTCTCAACTTTAGGTCGGGATACATTTTGGTTTTGCAGCAGCGTAGAAGAGTTTGATGAGCATGTATATTTGAATGCTAATTATAGCTGGTAAGGCATACACAGGGGACAAATAATTTTTAAAGTGACTGGTTTAAATTATGCTGGGGCATGTGCATTGCAGGGAAAGAGAAACAGTGTCCTGCAGCATTATAAAGGATTTGAATAGCGCTGGTGGGCTTCTCAAAATCCCTCGGAGCCAGTCTGACTGCTCCAAAGAGTCAACAAGATTCTAATGACCTGAAAAGTTCCTTGTGGGACCGTGTTCTTCGTCCTGCTTATCTTGCCTCCACGTTCTGAAATATTTGTGTTCTGGGTATTCAGCCTTAAACAAAATTGCCATAATCTGGAATTCCTTCTTAAGCAAAATCAAACCTAATTTAACAAGGTCCCCATAGTTAAATGCTTTCTATTTATTTATTTATTTATTCTGTCATGTAAAATGACCCCTGTGCTATATTTAGTGCAGGGAGATCTGCTCTCTGGATTAATGTACACAACAGCTGCAGAAACAGTCCTGCTAGAAGGGCATAGCTCTCACCCTTGAGCTCTCACTATCTCCCTTGCTCTCTTTCTCTCTCTCAGAAAAGTATTTGACTGTCAGTAGCAAATGTTTGGCCCAATATATTGCAACATTAAGCAGTAATCAGAAGCCCATATTTAGTTTTATCAAATAATATGCCAACGATTGACAAGAGAACAGAGTAGCTCTTGAGAGTATGTCAATAGGACATTATACAAATTATGCTAAAGACACTGATTACTTTATCAGTAGCTCTGTTTTGGTCATGAAGTTTACATTTGTGAAGATGCTCTAGAATTTAAGAGTGAAAACAAAATCAGCAAATGTTAATGGTACGAATTCATAAACTTCAACTCTGCTCTTCTCCCTCTCCTGCACTTCCTGAAGGTTCCTGAGGTCAGGTTATTTCTTTTCGTCTGTCTTTTTTTTGTGGGTTTTTTTCAAAAACAGCTAACAAATTTAAACAGCAATAGCAAGCGTGTTAGTTCCTGTAGCTGAGCAGAATGATATTTACATATTGAAAATTATTTCTGGTCAATTCAGGAGTTAGTTAGGTCTTGCATTTGCCAGAGTACCAAACACAAAGGGGAACTGTGTGCTCTGTGCTGATTTTTTTACTCCTGTGCATTCTTTAGAGATTTTACAGCAGGTCTTGCTGTGGTACTGAAAGAATGTTTCTCATCAACAGCTGCTGAGAATTAGCAGTCCAGGTATATTTGCTCATAAATACAACATTAAGAGAGTTTGTTAAAAATTTACACAATACCATAACTGCAATTGGGCAATGCAATGTCAACTGTAACTTAAATAACTGGGGGGGGAGGGGGGAAGAGAAAAAAATCAGTTTACTTTTCTGTTTAAAACTTCACTGTTTTAGTGCTTGTTTTCATAAACAGGAGTAGTCTAAGGGATGGGAAAATTAATTCCGCCTAATATAAATCTCATTTAAACATTGTAGTTTAAAAATATGATTCAAATGTGAAAGCTTTTATGTTACAATGTTCTGAGGGAAAGCCAATGAAAAGGCATAAAAAGGACAGAACAGTGAACAAAAAGAAAGAAATACTATGAGGAAAGGCTTGTTGCCTGTTAGTTATATTTTTTCATTGAGGACTTCTGTATGTACATTCAGCATCAAATTGTGGATCTCTGCTGCATCTTTTTTGGCCTTTCATATAAACTTTTTCCCATGTGGGCAATCCCTGAAGGAAACTGGACTATACACATTACTTGAATCGACAAAAACTTGTCCTACATTACAAGCACTTAAAGTACACCCAGAACTTGTCTTGACATCAGAGGTCTGGCTGCACAGGTGGTTGGGAGAGGAGGATGGAGAAGCATCCCAGGGAGGCCTCAAAGACAGCCATCACCTGTCTTCGTGTCTGACCTTCTAATTTAAAAGTCAGCTTCAATTTATTTGTTTCAATTTGATGTTATATGGAGTTCCTTTAGGAGATTGTTTACCTTGCAGTTCAAGCAGATTCACTAAGGAGGCAAACAGAGCTTGAGACATGGCATAAAGGGTCTCAGTTCTCATTTTGAGAAGTATTTGGGGACAATATTAATTATGAAAAAATTAAGACTTTTTGTGATCAGAGTAAAAAAAAATTCATTATGTGAGAGTATGAAGGAAATGTTGAAAAAGTTAGTGAGTGTTGAACGTGCTTTTTCCCTGAAGCAGAGTTCAGAATTTTCTACTGCTTAGGGTGTCCAATACTGTAACAGTGAGGCCACGGGCCAGGGCAAGACTCCAAGTGCACACAGGGCTCTTGCAGTGTCTGTTGCAGAGTAACTTGGAGAAAGGATTTATCCCATCCCATTTCAGAGGGATTTTGTTTCCATCAGAAGTTGTTACACTCCTGAGCCTGGAGGCTCTCTATTTTCCATATTTAATCACATTACTTGGAAATGGGAGTTTAGTTATCTGACTCATTACAAGGAACGGAATTCAAAACCACTAATGTGTCTAAAACAGAAAAGTACACCCCCTTCTTGTACACAGCTTTCCAAACACAATTTTAAAAATATCTTACACTCACACCCCCAAACACACACAGAACTGCTAATCTTAGTCCTCTGCTCCAGCCTAACCTTTCCTGTGTCTGGAGTCTCAACGTCTGTCTCGCAGCAGCTACAGCTTGTCAACAGGCAGTAAGGAAAATGGTGACAATGGCAACTGCTACATGAGAATTCCTGCAAGCACAGGAGAATGTGATTGTGATCATCAAACACCTGCAAGGCAGACCACTTGAGTCATCTCTTAGCTTGTTTTTCACAGCCTGTAATCATACAGTTGAAACACTCCATTACAGTCTGTAGGTAAATGCAATTTATGTGCAATTAAATTAATGGTGAAGTGGATATAGCCTCTGATATCTGCTAAACTTCCCAATTTCTGACTGAGCTGCTGGGCACACAGTGTCTTGCTGTGTAAAGGTAATAAAGGTGCCTCGATGCAGAGCAAGAAGCAGCAGTTTGAGAGCTGTTCTGGTGCTGGGTTTCATACAAAAGCACTCTCAGTAAAAGTAATGATAGTTTGAAAAGCTAAGACAGGAACAACATGTATTGACCAGAATTTCTAACTATAGCTGAAAGCCAAAGATGTTCAAATACTTTTTGCATTAAATCTGCTATTTACATATAACCTGTTTATTATGACACAGAAGGGGAGTTTGAAAAAACATCTTCAGGCCATCAAGCATTTGAAGCTCTCTCTCACCAAACAAAACAGAGATAGATCAGACATATCTGGGATTCCCTTCAGCTTTGCTGAGATTTCACTAATGCTGTTTTCTTAGAAAAAGCTCAGGTTCTTTCAGTGATGACTCAGCAATGAGTCTAACAAGCCTCAAACAAGAGGAAGTGAAAGTGTTTGGTGTTATGCTGTGCAAGATCCTTGCAGTGCAATTTTCCTCCCTTCCATGTAAGGATTTTCGGGTCAAACCACTGCCAAAACAAAGAGTGGGAACTAATTCTAACTTTGTGAATATTTAATCCTAAGGATCACTTGGCTAATAAGAGAACATTGCCATAAATATGGGCTCTTGGAAACTCAGTTGGCTAATGGAAACTGAATTAGTAGATGGAAGAAGTTCATGGAGTTAGTTTTGTTCATGGCATCCTTCGGTGCCTCTTAAGATAAGGGGTGCCCAAGGTGACTCCTTGTGTCCCATGAAAGCAAAAAATGTTGCCCTCAGTGCACTGGTTTGGTGCTGTAGGTTATGAGCCAGTCAAGAGCAGAGAACTGCAGGCTGCTGGAATCAGTCATCACATTTTCCACTCTAAATAACACTAGTTTAGAAATATTATTTGTAATTAGCACTGCAATTCGTCCCCTTGATAAGGATTCATCACAACATTTCTCCAGTCAGCAAAATAACTGGTGCTTTCATTGACACCACAGACACCTACTGTGTTTTTACTAGAGTTTGTCCTTCTTACTGCTTGCTCAACAGAGTTTTCTGCAGTTATCTGCACTTCTCTGCTCAACAGAGGCATCTGCAGTTCCTGCATACATTTTGCCAGCTCCATGACCTGGTGTGCTGTGCTGCTGCCCAGTGCCAGTGTCCTGTGCCACTGCACACAGGGATGGTTTCTCTGCTGCTACAAAGACAGTTCTGTTCCGAAGCCCCAGTCAGGAGAAGTTAAAGGGAAGGCTCAAGACATGTCGAGGCCAATTCTACATCTCAGTCTAAACAAAGAGAAAGACTGAATTCAAGATCTTAAGTTTGAAGCTTAGATTCCAATTTTGGCTATAGAAGGGCTAAATTATTGCTAATTATCATTAGTCAGATCTGTAATAGGATAGTTGTTCCTCTGGTCATGCCTTTTCACTCACAAAAAAGATGGCTTAATAGATATTTGAGAAAATATATTGAATTCAGCCTTATGCCATCTAGCCCAGAGACCCTCTCAGCTCTATGCTTGGTCTCCTTTGAGTAAAAGCTGTTGTTCCCTGACTGTGAAATGTAAATGGCTCAGCTTACCCAGTGCTTCCCTCATCATCAGCCCTCTGTAGTCCTTGGATAGTACAGATCCTTGTAGGAAAAGGAAAAAAAAGGGGGGAAAAAAAGAAACCAGACATCTCTCAAGGCATGAGCAAGGCGGAATTAATGGGATTCCCTGGTAGCCTAACAGCAACATTTGCTGAAACTTAACACTTTCCATTTAATTAAAAATACCACATAATTCAAAATATTTTAAAAATTCAGTAGCCAAGCACTGCTACATTTGACTAGAACCCAACTTCTTCCTTACTAAAAACAGAATTAAAAAGTTATCTTCTACTCAAGCTGAAAATAGGGAAGAGTTAGATATAAAATTCTGACTGAAATGTTTAGGGTGAGCTCTAAAGAAAAGTGACTCTCTAAGTAGTAAGAATTTGGCATCCGATTCATTTTCATGGATATCTTGCTTCCCAACACAAGAAGGAGAATTCTGCTCCCTTCTACCTCTTCTGCTTCAATGGGCAGAAGGAAGGAAGCTGTTCCAGGTCCTTTGCTGGGGAACTGGTTTTCTCCTTTTACTATCAGACAGTGGCTCCTTCACTGCACCTTTTTTTTTTTCAAACTAGAATTATAAAACTATTTTGCCAATCTAAACACATCTTTGACAGTATCTCGTTATATTGCAGTAATACTCCTTAAGCAAATTGGCAGAAATTATTTCTTTTGTGTTTCAATGCTTTGTTCAAAAGTCAAATAGAAGATATGCAAGACCCAGAACAAAGTCTCAAATAACCACACTGAACAAACACTTGCTTTATAAGGGTTACCTGCAGAAAAGCTGCACTGTGATAAACGACCTCTGTTCAAATATACATAGCACTTAAATGAGAAAATCAAGCAATATCTGTACAACAGAGGAAAATAAAACCCTGAGTAGTCTCAGTTGGATAATTTTCATATATTCTTTCAACAAAATCATTCTTTAAGTTCATTTGACTTCAGCAGGTTTTGATCACACATCCTTCCCTACCTGCCTTTCCTCCTTAGTGTGTCCAGTGTTCTCTAAAGACCTGTATCATCTTTTTTCAGTGTCTGATGGCCTTTACAAACACTGAGGTGAACCGAGGATGTGCCACTCTGAAAGAGTGGCCAAGAAATGTAGCAAGTTAAACTTTGCCACCATGTGAAATATGCACTTCTCCAGCCCTATAAAATACAGCCTTCCACTGTGGCATCTAAAGCTGCAAAGAGCTGGATGGTATAATCCAGGTTAGAGGGGTTAGCAGGGAGCTGCATCCCGCAGGAGAGAATTCTGGGAGGCTGCACATCCTGTAACATCCCGATAAAGCACACACTGCTCTCTTCTTGCAGGCTCAGCCAGCAAAAAGAAGGGGCAGAGGAAAGAGCTGCTTCTCCCCTGGCTCTGCTTCTCCCCTTCCGATTTTCAGCAGGGGGGAGGCCCCTGTTACAGGGAGGCTCCAGGGCTGCACTTCATTCGTGGCACAGGTCTCACTTCCAGTCTGTAAGCGCCCTATGTTAGAACGTATTTCAGCCCTTTGGAGTTGAAACTATAGCTTTAGCTGTGACCTTTACAGCACATAGTATGTGATCAGCACATAAACAAGCTAATCTAACCCCTTAACCATATTCTGCTTCAGTAAGATGGCACAGCTGCCTAAGAAGTTAAAGCTGAGCAAGCAAAAGTAGTATCCACGGAGCAGGAACTTTAAGCCTCTTTGTATTCTTAAGAGGTTAAATTACAAACTCTGTCCAGTCACGGAACAGCTTACAACATTATCTCATGTGGGCTTCCCAAATCAGTGTTCTCTATGTGCCACAGCTTCACTGAAATGCTGTGCCAGACTATTTAATGCCAAGTGTTCAATTAGGATCGCAGACTCTGGTTCACTTGCAGGGACTACATTGGGTGCTTAGAAGCATATAATTTATATGGCATTTTATTTATTATTTTTTTACAGGCAAGAACTTAGCAATATTTTGGTTGGGTGCCTTTGTAGTCTTACTGATTTTCCCTGTTTAATATTCCAAAAACAAAGCAAAATCAATAAATCTAAAATGCCAGATATTTACGTAAGAAAAATAATTTCTATATAACAAATCGAAGAAGAATATAAAGAGTTTAAATTGGAGCTTTCTTTTTTGTAAATAAGGAACAAGGGCTGTCACTCACGTTCCAGGATGAAATGTTGCAGCAGTACGAGATATTATCAATTCATTTTTTTTTACCAGCTTTTTTCCAGGGACAACTGTCCCGCTAGAAAAGCCAAAAGCCTTTTACAGCAGAGAGACCTTTTTTAATTTTCTTTCTCTGGCAACTTCAGCAGTTACATAAGGCTATGAATGGAAATGGCCAATGCCAGGGCATGGATGTTCCCTTCTCTTGATGCCACGACACAAACAGAACCCTCTGCAGTGCGACAAACCAGACACCTTAGAGCAGGAATATTTGAAACCATCACAGCAAGACTCGCCAGGCCATAAATGAAGCAGGAGAGAGATAATAAGTACCGCATATTCTGAGAGACTGATCCAGTAAATAGTCATGCACTTGCTTCAGTATCTGTGAGATAACAGCTCTCTGAAAGGTGGTAAAGGGCAGACATTTGTCTTCATACTTAGGCCACCTTAAGATGAGTGTGTTAACAGGATGCCTGAATCCCTCTGCTTTCATAATGGCTCTTGTGGAAATGAAAGGGATAATATTATGCAGACCTACTTGCTTCAGTATGGAAAGGGATTCTTTAGCTTTGCTTATCAAGCATGCAGGTTAAGTATAGGCTTTCTAATACAGTCTTCTCATGTGGTATATTTTTCAGAATCAGGATGACCTAAGGTAATGATTTTGAAAACCCTGCAGTACAAATGATGTTTGTATCAAATCATGACATAGTTCTTTACTTTAAATAGCTTAGAAATAATGATGACTTTAAGAAGGTATAGAACATTTAGCACCATTACCGCCTCCTATAATGCAATATCTTTAGGAGTTTTAAATGAAAAATTGTCATTATTGAATATTTTTGGTTTTTTTCCTTCCTCCTCATGTCCCTCAAATGTTTTTGAGGGTTCGTTTACTTACTATTGCAGTGCCTTTCAAGCTAAATTTACTTCATTTAAAAGTACTGTTATTCTCTCACAGCTTTCAGTCCCTGAAATATCCAACACTTCACCTGTCTGATGAGGTTGTTTCTTAGCTAAATTAGCTCCCTTGGTCAGACCACGGTGCTCATAATGCCAAGATCACGGGTTCCATCCCTGTACAGGCCATTCATGTAGGAGTTGGACTTGATGATCCTTGTGGGTCCCTTCCAACTCAAAATATTCTGTGACTATCTGAGATTTGACATTGAAACTCAGTTAACAGCTCTGTAGTTGAAGTTTTGCCTGGAACAGAGTAGAAAATACCACACTTGCAGTTCCTTCAGCTATGTGAGGCTACCTACAGCAGAAAGTGATAAAAGATGAACTTCACTGGGTAAAGGCAATAGCATCTGGCAGTACGTACAGAAGCAGGCCTTTATAACAAGGCCATACTTACAATTACTTCAAGTATTACAAGTATTCAGTGCTCAGACACAGTTTGAAAATATTGTGTTCTGCTTTTCAAAAGCCTGTAATTGTGTGTTCAATCAAAAAATTTGCTACTGATAAGGTGTGGTCCTATCTGTCCTTTTTGTTGGCAGCATGCAAGACGACAGTTTAGAAACCTCAACTTCTATATCTCAGCTTCTGAGAGAGAGTTATTTAGCTGAAACTAAGCATCAAGGGAAGAGTGAAAGAAGCAGATCAGAGCCAGTTTCTCATAATTTCCACTATGGCAACACTTCTGGTGATTCAGATGAGGTAGCTGCTCAAGATGACCTTCCTGATCTCTCTGCCTTTTTAAGCCAAGAAGAGCTTGATGAAAGTGTAAACCTAGCAAGACAAGCTATTGATCAGAATCCACTGGAAACTAAACAGGATGAGCTTCAGGCACAGTCACAGCATCCTCCAGATCAGCTGAACAACCCGGGAAAACACAAACAAATGGCCCAGTCTACAGCTTTCAAAACATCAGACAACGGCCTGCACTCCAACTTTTGTCAGGACCATATCAGAAATACAAAGGGCTCCAAAGGGAGCTCTCAAGATCTGAAGAAACATCACCTCCCCTCTGAATCAGAATCCAAAAAGGAATTCCTAAACAAGGCAGCAGATTTCATTGAGGAGCTCTCCTCACTTTTCAAAGCTCACAACTCTGAAAGAATAAGACCCCGAACATGCAAAAACTACAGGAGCAAGATTGATTCCAAGAATAAATCTGCTCAAAAAGGTGGCTCTAGTCTGTCTCTCACATCAGAAAACAGAGAAAGGCTTTCCATTCCAGCATCTCAAGACTTGGAAAACAAAGCAGAAAAAACATTTGAACAAACAGATGATCAACAGGCAGCAAACTTGGAATCTGTTAATCAATTAACAAGTGCAGAGCTAAAAACAGAGTCAGAATCTGCATCTGTATATTCTGATGAGCCTATCGGACAACCACCACGCTTTACTCAGAAACTGAAGAGCAGGGAAGTTCCTGAAGGAACCAAAGTGCAATTGGACTGCATTGTGGTAGGAATCCCAGCACCTGAAGTCAGGTAAACATATTCTGCACTTGTCATTTTGTATGTCTGTAATGGTAGGTGTATGCCTACCTCTGTCCAGATATTTTGATGCATGAGTTTCAGTAATCTGCAGCAGAAATCTCCTGCTTACTAAAAACTGATTAAGAAAAAAAGTTGCTCTCTACAAAAGGTTGTATATATTTTCAGACAACGTATTTTGGGACATGTTACTTTCTTTGAATTTTAGAGTAATGCTTTTAAATACTGTGCTTCCTTAATTAAAAGAAAGTGTGGAGTCCATAGTGAGAAATGTTAGTTATCTTTATAGAAATCAAGCCTGACTGTGTAAACCAACTAAAAACACCAATGGCTGTGACACCTCGTGCTGATGCCTGAAGCTATCTGAGATGAGAGAATGTAGGATCCCAGAAACCAAAAACATCCACACATGAACGGAGAGGAAAGAAGGTCATTTCAGTTATTACACCAGTTATAACCAAAAGCAGCTCAGTTCTAATCCTGATTCTGACAAAGATTCTGCTGAGACCTTAGAAAAAACATTTCTGTTTGATCAAGTATAAGACACCCCTGTTAATTGTCACTTATTCATGATGGGTGACTGCTATTTCTGATATTTCTTTTTTCACCAATATCTATGAGGATTTTGAAAGTCAAATAAGTAACACTTGAAAACATCACCGGAGATGAAAGGAAATGGGACAAAGGTACACACATCAATTACATCAATGAAATGAGAAACAGATTACTCTAACTTTTAAATTTATCTTCAAAATTCTTAGATCTCATCAGCATTTCTATATCTAAATTTGTTCACAGAGAGCTCATTAGTCAAATTTACCTCTCTCTTACAGTGGTGGAATCATATTTCCTTTGCTGGGACTGTACCAATCCAAAAGAAAGGAAAACTCTGTCCACCTTTTAGAGATGTACTATACATATTTGCATCCTAATATCTGAAGTATCACACATAGATACCCTTAGTCAAGGTAGCTGCCTATTCTTTTATAGGCATTTTAGAAATCTGTGTTGCTTCTCTAAATATTGAAAAGAACTGTCTGCACCTTCAACATCTAATGATTTGGACCATTCACAGATGGTCCATATTTTCTAACTGCACTTCTACTGCAGTCAACACCTTTTATCATCTTTCTTACCGAACTAATAGGCACAATCATCAAATGAAAACTGTCTCAATGTCCAAATATGGATGCCCCAAAGATTTTTGTGGTAAAGAATCTTTGTCTTCCTCTCCCTTGGATTTCTGGCACACCAGCTGCTAATTTTTCAGAAGGAAAAAGCATTTACAATGCACCATTAATTACATAGGAAGAAGGATCTACAAGTGAATCCACTTGTTATGGACATCTTATCATGGAGGTGTGAAGTTGTCCAGTCCATGGGATCCATGGACTGTGACTTCCAGACTGTATTGCCCCACTAGTGCCTTCAGTAGGTTCTCAGTCCCTAACAAGACCTTGACCTGTGGTGCTAGACAGGGTCTTTCATGCATGATAGGAATGTGAACTTCCAAAGGACTAAATGATTTTTTTATAGAAGAGGAATCCCCTCTAAAGCTGGGGGAAATACATTGTTTGGGAAAAATATAATTTCTACTGCGTTTCATGTCTAAACTCACTGCTTTAATTAACAGTTCTGAGGCATTCCCTTGGTGGAGCTTATGGCATTACAAATGCTGTATTATGCTCAGCCCTTAAACTCATAGAGGATTCCAACTAAAAGAGAAAACAATCCCAGAACTTCGGAGTTTTTTCTTAGAAAACAGACAGAAAATATCATCATCCCCTAGATATTTGCAACACTTTCTGAACACTTCGCTTGCATATAAAGACTTTGAGACTTGTTTCTCCAGGTATTTGCCTTGATAAAACTTTTTGATATTAAAAATGTCAGTAGGATCCCTGGATATGATAAATATTTTTTTCCTCTCTCATCGCACATAGTTTATAATGCAAAGAAAACAAGTGAAATAATCTTCTCTTATGTGTATAGACCTGTAGACAAACTCAAGCTGGCTTTCTTCATATTCAGAACAGAATTCAGAACAGAATAGAAACTGAATTGCTTGTTTACAGACTGTACTCTAGTGCACAATGTTAATTTTATTTATTTCTCCAGAAGGCCACAAGCACAGCTCCTCATGATCGTGCTGTTGACACACATAAAACTAACAGGGTGTTCCTGCCATCTTTAGGTGTTTAACAACTATCTGAATTAGAAGCTGACACTACAAAGTCACTGAAGCCTTGCAAGGGCAGATTGGAGAACCCAGGAACAATGGTTCAGCCAATGGATTATTCAGGGATGACCAGAATGCCTATACACCCAATTCAGGGACCACTTGATTGCACAGAAAAGGATGATGGGTATCTTTGTAAATTGGAGCTATTTTTGTCACAGCAAAACTGAAGTTTCTCATCGAGATTTCTATTTCAACAATTGATTTTTTTTTTTCGTTTTTATAAATAAAACAAGCTACTTATGCAAATGACAGTCAATACAGGAGCTTCAAAACACTTCTATAGAATAAGCATCCACCAGATGCAGCAAAATAGGGGCGGGGAGAAAAAAGCCCCATAGGGAAAATCAGTGCCAAGAAGGAAAGCTCAAGGAAAAGATCAGGCTCGGCTTTCAGTTTCACAATTTAAACCAAGAAATAAAAGATAAATCACAAGGAGTAACTCCGAACTCTCTCTCCCCTTGTGTTTGTGTGCGTGTACGTACGTGCTGTATTATGGAGAAGGCTGGGAATGTTCGTTGCTTGAACAGTTTCCTGATCACAGTTGTTTGTTAACAAAACTTTTGTCCTGTTCATCCAAGATTCTTTCAACTCCACTAACGTGTAGGAGTAACACTAAGAAAGGGTGTAAAAAATATCACTTGCCTGAGTGATAAATGTTCCCATGCTTCCAGTGATCTTGGCCTTTTTAGTCACTGTTATAGCACAAGGAAACCAGAAAATATAATGTGCTTTGGCGTATGTGTTCCATTAACCTTGGAGACCACAAGAATGCAGGAATTTTTCACTAAAAATAGAGCTCGTCTTTGATCTGCTGTGTAAAGCTTCCAAAACAGTGAAGGAGGCATCTTGTTAGCCATAGTTGTGGAGCTGTGACCAGAACCAGGCTCAGAACAGGCAACTGTCTTGCTTTGAGGATAACAGTTTTCCAAGGTTTGTGGTGAGTTAGTTCTGTATCTGTGGAGGAGGACAAGGAGAGACAAATTCTAATAAATAAGAAATAAAAATATCATCAGTCCCAGTACAGGGCTGACTGGCAAGGTAGTAACTGATGAAAGAAAGCTTAATCATCTTTGACTTAAAATAGGCTTCCTAGCCACAGAAAGGAATCCAAGGTGCATATATTAAACACAATTGCAATGTAAAAGTGGTACTGTGGGAACCCAGAGCATTCTGAAACAAGAACAAGATTCAACAAGCTCTGTCATGTAGTTACTCAGTCAACACTAGGAGCAGTCAGATGGTTCAACTGATGTAATGGGGATTATAAGAGAAAAATTAGAGATCTGAGATTCAGAAAAAAGCTGATCACAGGGATGGAAAGGACTGGAAATATGAAGGGCAGATACTATGTTTGAAAGCAAGACAATACAAAACCAAATTAATGTAAAAGATGGTGAAAATGACAATCATGATGGATCAGGGCCGAAATATCATTGGCAATGACAAAGCATTATAATTCACAGGCACAGTAGGTAACTATGTAGCATGTATGAGGGCTCACTGAGGGACAGAAGATTGAATGAAATTTGGAACTGATATGAAATATCAGATATATGGAAAGTTAAATCCTGCCTGGCTGAATACAGAAAGACCTGTTCAACTGCTTTTTAAGATAACTCGGCCTTAGTGTAACAAACCCACAAGTCTGAGGAAGCTTGTGAAACCTACCTGTCTAGAAGTTTCGGTGAAATGTTACCCATTTTTCACTCTCATCAGCTGAATGCAGTGACACAGAAGAGATGGGCAAAGATTATTACCATAGTTTGTGCACCTCTAGGTAGCTCAAACTTTAGCTCACAACAAAAGAGCACTACTACAGTTATGGATGATTGCTTTACTCTGACTATACTGTGGGTCAGAAATAAGCATTAAAGAGAAATGTGTAGCATATTTCCAAAGTGCCAAAGGTTTGATGACCTCCCTCTCATGCTTCCCTCTCCAGCCCTGTTTCTGTGTCAGTAATGGTAGGTGTGACAGTCACTCCTCTCTGTGAGGAGAGCACTCCTTTTCCCCTCAAGTTCAGAGGTGCCTACATTTTTCCAAACGGTTTGGCACATCACTCCTAGGTTAATTTTACTTATAAATCACATTGCATGGTTTGGCATACACAGCTATCCTGGAAGTGTCATGAGGATTTGATGTTCTAAAAACAGGCTGCATGTCATAAGGTTTCCATGAAAACATTCTTTAACGTAGCCACACAAAGCTTAAAAAGTGCATTTTAGTGCTCTTTTGTTTGAGGAGACCTGCAATTAATCACTGATTTTTAGAGGCTCTGAAGCCACACAAGATGAAGATATTTCTTCCTGGCTGCCAGATGAAAACCTTTATCTGGTTTAGCGCTCCAAGCCTAGAGCCCAACTCCTCTTACATGCAACTCCAGTCACGTCAATGGATCAAGCCCTGGGATGAATGTGGCCCAGTGGATGTGCTCCATGTGCAGCTCCCTGGCGTGAGGAAGCTATCGTTGCAATCCGTGGCAGGAATGAAATGTCAGTGACAGAGGCTGTTGCTACTTCAGTCATGCCACGCATCTCAGTGTCAGAACTCCCCTTGGAACTGACATTTCGCTGCTACCACGTACAGCGTTTTCGTGGTAAGTATAGAACCAAATGTTAACAGGCAAGAAGTAGATATGGCCACACCAAAGATTTACATGAAGATTAACTTCACAAGAGACAATTGCTTTTCATTTATAAGCATTGCAAAGAGGTGACATGCATGTAACATGCTCTGCGTCTCAACCTAATCTCAAAGTATTTGAACATTATGCTGAAAATAGTGACTAAGGAACACACTGCTTAGGAGAACTAAACACAGGTTTGAAACAGGAGTTTATTCCTGAAGTTGTAAATCACTTATGTTGCAAGTTTGGGACTAGTGAAATGAAAAACTAACTGCAAAGCATAGTATTAACTCAATCCTGCTTCACTGTTTGTTTGAGTCTACTACTCACGTACTACTACAATAATTGGACAAATTAGCTTACATGGTGGTTTTAAATTTGCTTGTAGGAAAATAGAATTGTGCCTCACAAAAGCATGCCATACAGACTTACCTCTACACAAACACGACAGGTTAACTGGAAAAGCAGTAGTAACACAAGGAGTTTTACCTTACTGGTGATTATTATCACAGCATTTTGTGCAATGTGTTTTGCTCTCTGTGTCACTTCAGTGAGAACCACATTTAAGCGGACACAAAAATATAATATCGCTCTACTATGTAAGTTATTTTAATAACTTCTGGAAAGATGCTGCTGAAAATGGGATCAAATTCTAGAAGCCGGGTATTCTCTTTAATACTTATTCATATCTGCTAAAGCTAACATGCTAAAACAAGGCTACAATATAAGGCAGAGGCATGAGGTAGGTGTATAAAAAGACATGAGTAAGTGCTGTGACTCACGTCCCAAAGTACACAGTTGCCTACATGAATTACACACCTCAAAGGCAGCTTGTACATTCATATACCAAATCTGTGCTTGTAGTCATAAAACTGCATGAACCTTAGGTCTTCTCTCCTGGTAATGTAACTATTTTCAATTACCCCCAATTGCAAATCTTCAAAACAACAGTAGAATAAACCATATTGTAGATAGAATGTACCTGATATGTCTAATGTTTCTAATTATTAGTGGGGAAAATAACAGATTTGGGAAAGTCATTATGAGCAAAGTTTAAACTAGGTGTAGCTGTTCCTTCTGTTTGAAGAGGTTTCTTTTAGAGCATCTGACAGGACTGTGACAGAATATGAACACTACAGCTCAATCAGAAAAAGTTAGAAAAAGAATTATTTCTAAAGGAAAAGTATTTTGAATGGAAGCGTAAACCAGTTCTTTCAAAATAAAGATTATACAAATAAAAAGTAGTATTTTCAAACTAAATATTATTGAAGAACCATACAGTCTAATCTACTAGAAAAACAATGGTAATGGTACTGAGACAGTGAAATCCTTTAAAAAAGAGGTAGTTTGTAAAGAATCATTTTAAGACCTGTGATTTCACCTTCTAAAAATTATTTTTAGGTGCTGCTTCACACCTGCTGAAAAAAGTCAAAGAGAATGGTAGATAAAAGCAAAGATAAAAAGATAAAGAGAATGGTTACATACTCCAGAGAAATAAATGAATATACATACATGTATATATTCACTCTGTTCTTACATTCTCCCCTAAGTGTCTGCTTTTGGCCACTGCCAAGACCTCATGCTGGGTGAGGTGGATCTGTGGTCTGACACAGAGCACCCAGTAAGTTCTTCCCCATCTTTTGACATGTGCCAGCTCACCTGGCACCCTAGGAAATGTGCTGCTGTTATTACTCCCTTTTGTATGAGGACAGCTGTCTCCTAAATTTCCAAAGGTGCTGCATGTTGTACGGGTTTGGTTAATATCCAGAACTCTGTTCGCATCTGCACTGCGAAGAATCTCCAAGGAGTTTCACTGAGCTGTGACAAGTAGCATGAGTGGCTGCTGAAAGTTACTCTGCAGTAAAGTGCTGTCCTGGGCAGAGTATCCACTGACAGAGCATCCCTCAGAGCATCTCATTTTGCCCACCAGAGTGGGAGAAAACCTAGCAAATGAACTATGTTGAACCTTAAATGGCCACCAGTTTTATCATCAGAAAGCCTTCGAACATTGTCATCCTAGTTGTCAAGTTGTTTGCATTGATAAACAAAATTTCCTTAGTGGTGTGGCTCAAGCAAACATCTGTGGCAATTTAACATGCAGCTGTAGCCTCCTGACTGCCCAGTCTCTTCTTTTATGGTCATTAACAGTTACCAAAAGTGATGTATAGGAGAATCTGTACGGTTCAGTCATCCTCAATCCTTTATGTGGTGTCCTGGCACAAACCCATTTTCATTAGACCAGAAGTGGAGCAGCTGGGTCTGGGAATACATCTGAACCTGCCAGCCTTGCTCCAGAAGGAGAAAGCTCTAGCAAAGAAGTCAGCATCAGAGTTTTAACATTTTAAAGTCCTGCTGGCAGACCTGCAAGAGCTCATCCACTCCTTCTTTTAGAGCCCTAAGGCTCAAATGGAAGAGAAATCAGTAACTTCGGCTGAAGTTCTCGGCATCAAGTGTGTAGGATCCATTCTGCAGTGCAGGAGCTTCCCTCTGGAACAGGCAGACCTGTCTGTCTGCTTTCCAAGCTGCATTTCCAAGTCAGTTGACTGTCCAGGTATGGATTACACTGATGTGCAACTCCAAGTGGAGCAGGAAACACCCTGTCTGCTCAGAGAAAGCCGTGTTGGGGGGCTGGGACTGATGGGGCACAAATGGGGCATTGTTTATTGCTCAGCTACATAATCAACACTGAAGTTTTAGATCTGTAGTCCTTAATACCTCATGGACCCTTTGAGGCTCCTTTTTCAATTCTGTATTATACTTTTATTGAATTCTGGTTTTCTGCTGGTATGGACTGTCTTAGAAATTACTTTTTTTTCCAATATATTAATTCAGGGCTTTCTTCATGCTCAATTTGTAGCATAAACTGTTGTTAAAAAGTTGTGCAATTGAATGGTTAAACAAATTTATTTATTCATGTTTTTCTAAAATATCTGAGATGGAAATGTATTGAAATACCTTATAGTACAAGGCAATAAATACTAATTATTACAATTTATTACTCCAAAACCTATCCTTATCCTTTCCACAACAATCTTATTTGCTGTAGTACCACTCAAATGTTGGCAGGTCCTTTTCCCAAGTTACCATGTAAGATGGATTAAACAATTATTATTTTTTTTAAAAATCAACTGAATAAAAAATGTTAGTAGTATGACAGCACCCACTGTCACATGCAGAAGATGCTTTACTAAATCATATGTTATTAAGAAAGTCATAGTAAGAAAATACAAAGATTTTTATGTAGTTTTATATCTGTCTACATTTATAAGAAAAGTTACAGTGAAGATGAATGTGCTTTAGCTTGGCTTTTTGAATCTAGCTAGTTACGTACAAATACAGGTATTTCTGAGTATTATCCCAAACATTTAGCTCTGGATCTTGACAGATAGCACTACACTTTCTGTATAAAACCTAGACTGTCGTATTAAATTGGAATCTGGTTCTGCAAACCCACCTGATTTTTCTCTTTCTGTTCTGCCTTGTCCGTGCTGAAAAGCAAAAGCAATCAGGCCAACATATTCTTGGATGGGTGACTGTGTTTAAAAGAGGAACACAGCAATATGATACAGAAAAGAATTCAAGGTGCAGCTGTCTCACTGGCTGTTCCTGCATGCAAGTGCCTCTGGATCGTAATAGATCAATTCCCTTACTTATGCCATCTTTTATAAAAAGCAGATTGGGTTAAATACATGACAAAACAAAGGGCAACACTACGGTAAATTTCAGTCACATTCTGAATTAACATGAACTTTGGAAATACAAGTTTCAGGTAAAATTACTTACTTACAGTGGGGTTTTTTTGCTGCACTTCAAGCCACAACACAGACCTGAATGTACCTTAAGAGAAATTCAGAGCTGGATTGACAGTGTTCCAAATTCAGAGCTCTTCTACTCTATACTGAATAATACAAAATTCATAAATATTTTATTCCTATGACTGTTGATTCAACACTTGCCTGCAGTACTCTGTCAGAATCTTCAGGCTAAACCTGCCAATTTTATCATCAGAAAGACTTCAAGCATTGCTATCCTAGTTGACAAGTTGTTTGCATTGATAAACAAAATTTTTTGCCTTGCAGGTGGTACTGTGAAGGGAAGGAGCTTGAAAACTCACCAGACATTCAAATTATCCAGACAGGTGATCAGCACTCATTGATTATTGTTGAAGCTTTTGAGGAGGACACAGGACGTTACTCGTGCTTTGCCTCAAACATCTATGGAACAGACTCCACTTCTGCAGAGATTTACATAGAAGGTAACGTTAGAAGTGGTGCAGAAATTGATTGCTGAAATTGGTCATGCAGGATTGAGATATGATTATGTGTCTTGTTTGCTAACTGTGTGATAGCTTTGTCACAAAAAAACACGTAGCAGGGAGAAAACCCTTTTCATCATTATTACCATCTTCATTATTTCCCTCTAAAGCACCATTCAGACAAGAGACTGCCCTTTACGTGTTATTTTATTGTGTTGCTTCCCAGAGATTTTATATATCTCACTGTAAGACCAAGGTCTAGAAATATTCAGATTCTGATACCACCCTGTATTTTTTATCTGTGGAACTCTACAGAAATATAAGAACTTAATATTTGTGTCTAATTCTTATTAATCCCTTTTCCCTACAGTCACTATTACAAGTTGAACATAGGACCCCTTCCTCTTAACCCTTTATTGGGCCCTGTAACCAAAATAAATATGCCATCAATTTGGTATTTTACTTGCCCAGTAGAGGTAAATAAAACAGAGTGTATATCTGCAGATTTAGATGTCTTCTTTCTCTTTATGCTTTCTACTACACCTACTGGGCCTAAGAGAAGTCTACTTATATTTCTTTTTAACACTTTGTTGGGTAAGATTTTAGATTGCATCCATCATTTGCAGGACTACAAATTTGAATAAACACAGAGGACATTTTTTTCCATTCTCAAGCAGAAAAATAAACCGTGAGCACCATCACTGACAGCAGTGGGACAATCACAAATTAAAGCAGTGCCCTACTTAATAGAGGGTGGATTTTGTTCTACTGATGCTCCTCTTTCACATCTCTAATCTGACAATGAAATGAAGAATCCTTTTTTAGGTTCTGCACTGCCCCTGACACTGCTGGGAGATGTCTGTGCTTGGCAGGGATTTCCTAGTTCTCCAGACAGAGGCCAGGGTCTGCTGTTACCTGGCTCTGTGGATGCTGGAGGGAAGTCATGGCTGATGGAGATGCTCACTGGCAGGAGCTGCAGAGAAAATGCAAATTCCAAGCACAGGGAAGGCTGAGTCAGAAGTGTAAAATGTCTCAGTAAGACAGCTGTTAGTAAACTGAGCTATTATCTTCTCCATATTGTGCTACAAGGCTCTAGTCTGAGAATAAGTTATGATTCAAGGTCTGGTTTTTAACTTTTTTTCCTTTTGAATGGTAGTATCAAGTGTCTGAGAAAAGAAAGCTCTTCCTTGATTCACAACAACAACTACAGACTAAATCATAGAGGCATTTTAAAGAGAACCTGAGGAAGACCCAGGTATACATTCACTCTTGGATGCTGTTTTCCTTATTTCATTTGCACCTCATCCCAAATTTTCCCCATGTCAACAGCAGTTCTGCATCTTGCACAGTATCCAATGCTGGTTCATTTCCCCTGGAATGTGATCTTTTGTTTTGGCACAGCTTTATAATATGTATCCATAGAATGCTCTAGAGGAAATCTGATTAATGGTTTGTATCATTCATAGATAAACTTCGAAAACCCCTCTGCTAAATGTTTGTTGGGTTTTTTTTAATTTTTTCATAGGAATCTCTTCTTCTGACTCTGAAGGTGAAATCATCACAAACGAAATGGATCAGTAAGTTTAAAATCAATGACATCTTGCATACTTTTTACCATTAAAAAAACCTCATAAGTGCAGACCTTTCAGTTTGCAACCTCCAAAGTGTTAGGGGTCTGTTTAGGATTTGTTTGGATTGTTTGAGTTGGGTTTTGTTTGCATGCCTGTTTGTTTGATTTACAAATAATACAGAACAAACACACATATGTTCACTTGTGTCTTCAATTTTAGATCAAGAATTAAAACTTTAATTTTAAATATAAACACAAGAGGAAAGATGGCACCTTAAAGATTAAACTACTAAAATTAATTTACTAATCCTGAAGCCATTTGACTAGACCCATCTTAAATGCTGATTTAAGCATCTGACCTGGACAAACAATTTCTTACATGAAAATACAGCATGTCATGAAGTTTTTGGCAGAATATGGGTACAGAATAATTATTTAGATTTAAGATAAGGAAATTAATAGGTATGCACTAGAGTAAACTGAAATGATGGTATAAAAGACTACTTAATTATAAAAATAAAATATGTCAGATGTCATCTAAAACCTGGGAAATAGTTTTATTTTTCCTAAATGAAATCCAACCCCTGATCGTTTAGAACCTGATCCAATCTCCTAAAACCAACAGTCTTTTGGAACCAAAGTCCTTCTATCAACTGAAAAGAGAGTCAGAGTGGTTGAAAACTAAAATAATCAGTCTTTTGTTTTTAACTCCTTTGCATTCGATCCCAAAAGCAAACTGCTTTATACAGAGAAAATCTTAACCAGATAGACATGCACCCTGTTGGTTTCATCCATCATCAGGGAGCATTATGCTCATTACAAATGTCAGTTTTTAAAATGCAAAGATAAGACATTTGCAGTTTGTTTGACTAAACACCTCAGGCTGACAGCAAATCCTGTTGTACGTGATTTTAAGTTCAAAGGCATAAAATATTCCCCACTGAATTGGTTTATGGACTTTGATAAATGTAAGGGTTTAATATAAAACTTAAGATTGAGAAGATCTGAAAGGTTTGGGGATGAATTGCTAAGTTTTCCACAGTTCTAGTTCAGACTTGTCTAACTGTCTCAGGCGTATCTTTTTTCATATTCACCTCATCAGGTGTCAATGTAGCAATGACCATGATCTTGACCACCTGATGCTTTCTCTAAATTACTTACCTCATTAAATTGTGAAGTAATTTTTTTTCTGAGATTAAAAAAAAAAAAAAGCTGCTCTGCCATTGTGGTCCTCAAATGATCAGGTTTGGGTGTAATGAAAGTGTCTTCATTTTTCCTCGGCTTCCAGCTGCCTTCACACGAATCTGAACACTGTAATTAAAGGAATTAATATGAGAACAGGTGCTAAAAGAAGTTCAAAAGAGAAATCAGTGATCACAACAACAGTTGTATCTTCACTCTGAGTAAGGTTTCCTCTGTTTTAAAGGTCGGGCTTCCCGTGGGGACCTGGGCACCTCAAACTGGATAAAAAGACCATCTCTTCACTGTTTGCATTATTTCACTTAGCAATAAAATTAAATAGGGTCAACTCTTATAATCACACATAGAAACAGCACAGAAGTGAATAGGTGCCTGTCTGTACACTATCAGAATTGAGGATATGTTGGTCAGAAAGTATCTATTGTTCAGCAATAAATTATTGAACCTGTACCAAGCAAACCATGGTATTTTCATTACCTTATAGGCCCAAACTTTCCCACAAGAGAAACCAGCACTGTCCTCTGTGAAACCAGCACTGCTTTCTCATGCTGCTCAGAGCTGGGTTAACTCAGGCCATTTATTGCATTTGGTGTGACTGAACAGGGGTACTAGAGTGGATAGATATGCAGGCTGGCTCCAACAAAATGCAGCTTCACCCAGGAGCACGTGGAATTCAATCCCAGAAGTGAGGCTGATATGTGAGGTTGATATGCAACTGAGACAGACATAACTAAGGAGACACACACACACAGAGCTCTGCCTTCCTGTCAGAGAACTTACTCTTGGTTAATATTTCACAGCAAACCAAGGACAGCAGACACCCCTGTGAATGCAGCATCTCCTGCTGTCAGAACTGCAACCAAGCATCAAGAAACCTCCAAGGCACCACCAGCTGTGTTCCAGCCCGTGTCTGTACCTGTCCAGACTGTGCCAACATCAGTTAATCCGGTATGGGAGACAATACAGGGAATTTCAAGGACAAAAAGCAAACTCTTATAAATCACAGACTGACTCACTCACCTTCAATAGCAGCAGCCTATAACGTTTTTCCCTCCCTTGCTACAGAACTCACTTGAAATCTTTGCCTTTCAATGAAACTTATTTTAAGCTAAATCATTTCACTACTATGTTTACTTCACATGTAGATATATGTGTTTGCCACATAAGATTTCAATATCCATATCAAAGAGTTTCTAATTAATGTTAGCATACATTTCAAGTCCTTTTTGTTGCAAACTGTCAGAATATTCACAGCTGTGAATTCTTTCCTGGTAGGAAAGAGGAGCCATGTTTCCTTAAAACTGAAATGTTCATGAGAAACTCGCTTTACACTGCTTTTTGAAAGTTTACAGGCCAGAATTAGGTGGTAACCAATAAACAGATACTGAACAGGTGAAGCAATGCATCTTTTTACTACTATGAGAATAGAACTAAGCCTCCGAGACATTTCACCATTTAAGAGAAGTTGCTTAAGTCAAGAGTAATAGTTATCTCAAAAAATCACCACTTTTAATCTTGTTGGTTTATAAAACATCATCTATGTAAATGTGGCTCTGTTTCCTGAGATACTGAATTAGTAATTTTGCTTTTCTGGGGCAACTCTTATTTCACTAAAAGGAAAAACTCTATTAAATAATCAATCTAGAAAACAAAATTTTCCAGGAGAAGAATAACTCCATTCTGATTTCACTGAGTAGGATCAAGAGGGTGATATCTCACTTTCTTAAATGGTTTGGTTTAGGCAAAGGAAAAGAATTACAGTAGCAGTCACACACATGACTTGACTTAACACTTCCTTCTTAACATCCATAAATATTTTGTGAGTAAGGATTTTAAAAACAAAACTACCACCAAGCAGCCAACAAAGTTTTGCCTTAGGGAATTATTAACAAAAGATGTCACAATACGCTGCAGTGAAGTTTTCCTTGCCAAGATGGACTCGACTAGGCAATAAAGCCCTAGCAGCATTTTTGCTGTTGTCCCATCCAGGATGATCACCAGCAGTTGTCCACAATGGAATTTATATTCATTGCATTAAATATTTTGCTTTGGACTTCATCCACTTCTCCTGTATATGGAAAAATAATGTCTGTACACCTAAACATCATCTTGTGATGTTTTGCAACCTACAGGCCCAAAGCCCCACTAACTATTTACAAGGACTGGATGGAAGACCTATAATTGCTGCTCCTGTATTTACAAAGGTAATTTGTTCTATGACATATTTGAAAATTAGAGGTCAATTAACTGTAGAAAGAGATGATTAAAAAATGTCTAGCTATCAAATGTAAAAAAAGGAATTATGCATTTCTGAAGCCACTCAAAGATTTAAATGGCTTTATTAAATCTTACTGAAATCAGTATTACTTCCAGAGCATTAAGGCATTTACTGACTGTCTATTCATTTTCTCTATTAGATGTTACAGGATATTTCAGCTTCTGAGGGGCAGCTTGTTGTCTTTGAATGTCGGGTGAAAGGAGCTCCTTCCCCAAAGGTTGAATGGTATAGAGAAGGAACACTGATAGAAGATTCTCCAGATTTTAGGATATTACAGAAAAGTATGTTTTCTGTGTGAAAGTATTGTGTCTAATAAAATATAGGCAAGCAAAAAAATTGCTAACATAGCAACCCTGTGAATTTCTTATTACAATGGTAAGAACCACACAAGCTGAATTTATGGCAATAAATCTGGGTCCCAGAAGCTCAAAGTGTGAATGAATTGACCAGCACCTCACAGGTAGTATTTCCTGAGATTCCCCAAACTCTCGAATCGTTTTGCCTTCTGCTTTGATCTCTTTGCCACTTCAGTGTCCTCTTCTAATTCAGCCTTACTTCCACTGGGTTTTTTTTGAGTTTACACCTTTTATGTAGAGTCCCATTGCCTGTAAATCCCTCACCTTTCAGGTAGGTAACTTTACAATAGTGCTTATGGGCAGTAAGTTGCTTATTTATCCACACAAGTAACCTGATGTGCACATTACCAGGCTGACACATGCACATGTGTGCACGTGATACACAGCAGGTTGTAAACACAGACTTCTCTGGTAATTTTCAAATGCAGTTAAAACATTTGCAATTTTCTCATAAGTCACTGGAATGCCAAAAATTGAGAAAATTCAACAGAAATTCCTTAAATACGACACTAAACCAAACCTCAGTGAAACAATGGTTCATCATAACATGGTTTTGCGCATCTTAGTTTCAGGAATTGTCTTCAAGATAAAGTAGTACTAATATTGAAAAAAATACTTCTTGCAGAATTTATTTCCTGTTCATAAATTCCCAAAAATGTTCCTAAGTGTTCATATGGTTCAGTAGCTTTGACATGTCACTGAGTAGAAGGCTTGGCTGTCTCTACCACGCCATAAACAGAAAACTGGATCAAATTCCAGTATTCCATCATATTGAGGAGTCAAACTTTATATTTAGTGCTTAAAAAAAAAATGTTTCCAAAAGCAACTATATTGAATCTAATAGTTCTGCTCTTCTTCCCTTCAGAACCACGATCTATGGCTGAACCAGGTGAGGATCATCAAAAGGCTCGTAATTTTTTCATTATATAAATGTGGTGATTTTCCTTCACAAAACATGGATTATTGAAACTCTATAATTTAATTAATGTAATTTTTTCTTTTCTCCATAATCTATAGCTACTTGTAAGTTGCATTTCACTGTAGACTGTTCCATAAATATATAATTTGAATTAGTTCTATCTCTTTTGAAGAAAGTGTTTCCGTTCTGCTTTGATCCAGTTCTAACCCGGGATCTAAATGAGCTAAAGATTAATAAAACCAATGTATAAGGGTCCCCAGTACATCTGAGGTCCAAAAGTACACCAGATGATGTAGGACTGAGCTATTTTTATCTAGTTTACCAGTTAGGGAACATTGCATCAGATGTTTAGCCATGTCAGCCATTCCCTGTGCTCCGGACCAGCGTAATATGAGAGTGCCACATCAGGTGTTCCACCCCTGATATCAGCAAATCCTATAAACATGGTTGGGCCTGCTAATTTCAGGGGTCAGGGTAGAAGGCAGGTTACTTCACATGATTGGAGCAGAGGAGCCTTACAGATTTTGATTGCTTCTCCATGAGAAGATCACTCTCCTCAGTATGCTTCTCACTATTAGAAATATAAAGCTGCCCCTCTTAAGATGGAAAATTATCAAAGGAGTATTAATTCTTACATTATAAACTTCTGTAACTCTTCTGCTTGCCCTATTAGAGGTTTTTTTACCCTGAAAAGTGTCTTGAAAGAAACTCCCTCTTTCTGAGATTTAGGATGGAAAAAAATGGAGCTTCAACCAGCACCCAACGACACTGTTCCCTTACTGTCTGCTGGCATCACTGCTGAGTAATGTGAAGCAGTTTGGAGAGGATCATCAGTTGGGTGCAGTTGTCACAGCCTCATCACCTGCTGCTCATTCAGAAGGAATCTGGATTTCCATGCATGCAGCCACTGGCAAATCCCAGCACGATAAACTACATCTTATAATGCCTTAAACTAGTACTATAACAAACTATTATTCTCCAGTAGTTGATAGCAAGTAATCTCTTTGTTCCTACTCTGTTCCCCTCAGTGATGCCATGAAACAATCAAGTTTAAGTGTGATATGGTTTTCTACAGAAATACTCGTAAAATATTTATCCTGTAGGGTTTTAGGGAAGTTTATTGCAAAAGGGTAGCAAAATAGTCACTAACACTAATTTTGAAGACATTTTATCAGCCCACATTTCATACACTTTAGATGTTGCTCTCCCTCCCCCTCCCAGCCAAACAAAAGACTTAAAATCCCATCACCATAGGTATTTATTGGCTGGTACTGCTGCCCAGACACATCAGATACTGGTCAGACAGGAGTGTCATAATGCCAGACTTTTCAAGATGGAATATAGTTTTTCACAGTACACTTTTGCTAGCACATTTTTGGTGTCCCTGAGTCTTCTTTTGCAAGGAAGTGAAAAGGCACCTTTCTAAAAGCATGATTAGCACAACCCCCTCTATCTGCAAATCTGCACGGGTACTTTTGGAAAATGCCAGCCTATATTTTGTGTTTCTCCCTCTCACAAAGTGACTCCACTTGAATTACAATTATAAATATATATATATATAATTTTATATATATAATTATAACTGTTAATTATAATTAATCTTTCCATCTGCAGAGATAAAATATATCTATTTTAGTGAGCTGAGAGTATAGAGTACGCTGTATTTTTCTAAATTAAATTTTAAACTGCTTCTGTCTTAAGTCTGTACTTCATGTCCTTAGGAAAACATTTTCCAATGTTTTCCACATGCTGCTGACACCTGTTCTTCACTTCCATTGGGCATGCTGGAGCACAGAGGACAGCAGTTGCTGCAGACAATGCTGATAACAGCTGCTGCACACAAAGGCTGCCAAAATTGATAATACTGATGAAAATAAAATCAAACTGAGCAAGGTTAAAGACCTTAAGGAAATCTCCTGAAGGACAGCCAGCGTTTGTTCACTACACGTTCACTTCAAGTACTAACATTGCTCTGATGCTTTGCAGAGGAAATTTGTACTCTCGTTATTGCTGAAGTATTTTCAGAAGATTCTGGCACTTTCACCTGTACTGCAAACAATAAATATGGCACAGTATCCAGTACAGCACATCTCACTGTCAGAGGTAAGGGTTTGTTTTAGTCCTTTGCTCCCTAGTAAACACAAGCAGAGCAGGCTATGATTTAGGCTGCCAAGGCACCGTACAGAACGGAAGGGCAGAGTGTGCTGGAGCCTCCAATTCAGCTCAAGTTCTAGAAATGTTCTTCGTAACTGAAAGGTCTGAGAATTCTCAGAAAAGAGAAAGTTTTTATTTCAAAGATGCTAATGGAATGTACGGGGGACATGGCTGAAGACCATGGCTTGGTTTTCCAAACTAGAACGGTGTCTTTTTTCCCTCCACCTTTACAATAGTCCTTTTTTACAGGACTATTGTTGTTATATAAACAAAGTCAAACAACTCAGTCCAACAGCCAGAAGGACACCAGAGTGAGTTTTCTGAACTGTAATTTTGTGATTTTATTTCACTATGATTTATGGCATTTACGTAAAAGCTTGCTGTTTACTCTTTCAGCATCCGAAGACAGCAGCAATGCTGCCACCCTTCACACCACGAGCTCCATCGACTTCGTTGCTACTGAACACCAACCTCCCCCACATGCTCCTTCCCCCCACGGAACAAACCAAACACCTAAACCTAAACTTGAAGGTGTTCTCGTGAACCACAACGAACCCAGATCGAGTTCCAAGATAGGGCTCCGTGTGCACTTCAAGCTGCCCGAAGAGGAGAGAGGAAGTGAATCATCATCGGAGGACGGACCCGGTGCTACAAACCAAATCAGACCCAACCATTTCCCAGAGAAGATAAACGGACAGCCAGTGAAAATAACTGAGCCAACTTCACCATCCAAGGAACCTCCCCCGGTACTGGCTAAACCAAAGCTGTAAGTAAACAGAATTCTAAGTCTCAGGAGCATCACCGATATTATTTAGTAGTTATAGACCATGGCACTATTGCACTAGAGCAAAAACTCAAACACAGAGAAAAAAGACAGTCAGTATCACATGGCACTGGCCTAATTAACCATACTTTCAGAAAACATATTCTACATATTCTGTATATCCCTCTTAGGAAAAGTGTTCTCCAATTTTAAAAGGGAAATGTTTTCCCTCTGAAATGTTATTAATTCCACAATGTTTTCTGCTGCAGTCAAAAGGTAAACAACCCTGCCTTTATGCAGGCAAAATAAAAGCAGGTTCTTCACACACCTCACCCAGTTCTGGGTATACAGTTTTGCCAAAATCAGACATATTCGGTCTCACACATAGTATGGACTGGCAACTAGAGGGCAGCTGTTGTCCCAAAGGCCATTCCTCATGACTTTATGTCCCACAAGCGTAATCGCCTCCTAAAACAGACAAAACATTTGGAAGTGTTTGATAATGTGAAACCCCTTGAACTAAGAAGCACCTGCACGGCTAGAGCACCATGAGCTCAAGGGGAAATCTGAAGAAGTAGTGTAGTTTTCTTAGAGAACAATTTGTGGAATTTACACTGCACTTTGTTAAGTAATATGTTTTCAGCATTTTTTCAGCCTCCCACATCTAGTTTAACAAAAAATCCTTAATTTTATTTCTTGAATACAACTATAGGCTCAGGAAGGACTTTATAAAGTAATTCATTGGTACTTTTAAGCAGGGCTGTAATTTCATAGCATAAACATTATAAGAGGAAGAGAGAACTTACATACCATATAGCAGAGGAAAAATTTGGAGCACTGATTTTTTTTTACTTTATGAAGCCCATATTGACAGCACTGTCTACTTTCAGAGCTATGGTGTGTTTAAGGGAGGAGCAGAAGCAGTATTTAAGTTGTGTAATGCTTGCATAAAGCAGCATTTCTCTCACACACACCCCAGAAAAACCCTCTGTAGCAAAGGAGTGCTTTATTATGCAGATGTATAGACAAAGGACACAAAATCAGGACACCACAACTTCTAACTCTCTAACATTTTACTTTTTGAAAGCTTGAAATAGTTTTATTATCTAAAATACTATAATAATGTATAATGATAATTGTTATAATAATTATATCTAAATTATCTATCTTTATGGTTATTTTTAATACATTATAGAAACAGTAATTCTTTTAACTAAAAAGAAGTTCTGTTGACCATGTATTTGGTTTGTCAGTACCAGTTGTGGTTGGTCTCTACTTCTACATTTTTAACTTTTTATCAACAGTCATTTAATAGTTTATAGCATGACCATTTTCCATATCCTCTATGTCCTTTCTGGTTTTGGAAGGGAAAAAACCAGCCTGTTTTTCATGTGCTATATTTCTATATACATAAAAACTAAATAAAACACTTGACAAGGCAAAATAATTCTCCTTAATTGCAAAACAGTTGACATATCTAGCAGATAGAATCTAGAAAACAACGACAGCATGAAATGCAAGTCCTCTCTTATTTAGACACCCCTGCCTGTCACTGAATGTCAACACCAACTAAACTACATTGGCAATACCTCTTATGGTGGATTATTACAAAGCCTTATGAGTCAAAATGCTGGTCTCAGAACTTGCTTCAACAGGAGGTAAATTCACTTCAATCTGGCTTACAAATGCTCATTTAAAATATGATACACCAAATCTTACTCTTAGTTGCACAAGCAGTGAGGTACTAAGATGACAGGGAGCAGAATTTGACAATGCTGTGCCTTAAATATCTTCAGGCAAAATTTATATTTCACATGATCAAATGTAAGAATTATCTTCTGTCAAATAATTTTCAGACAAAAAGCTTTTGTACCTCTGGCAAAGAAGGGGAGAGGAAGGAAAAGTTTATTTTAGTAGCAAACTAATATTATGCTCTTCTCATAATGATAGAGAATAAGTCAGGTAGGAGTTTCCTCTGTCTCTTATGGTATCACAGGACATTTTTTTCCCCCTCACAACTCATTTTTCTCTCTCAATTCATATATGGAAATGTAGTCAACTGGCCTATTTCAGGGCTCATAACCAATTTTGCTCATCTTTATTTTATGTGCAGTGATCAGAGCCAGTTAAAACAGCTCCACAACCAGGTCTTGCTTGAACAGCAGCAGGTGCATCAGGCATCTCTAAGAGAGCTGTCATTCAACACGGTTTCATTGAATTCTGCTACTTCACTCTACCAACAGTCCACCTCAACTCTGTACAAGCAAAGCTCAGCCTCTGCTTCACAAGCTTTTGGTTACACCCGCCCTAAGCAGTTCCTGCCATCCCAAACCTCACCACCGGCCAGCTCCTTGGCCAGCTCCTCCCTTGCAGCATTCAGCAACGTCCCTCAAGCAACTCAGAGAACAAACAACATGGAAAATTTCACAGGAAATCCCCCACCTGCCCAGTCGAGGTCCTCGGGAGGGTTTACAAGCAAAAGCGAACAGCCTGTCCCAGGCCCCAAAGAACCCGCGGCGCCTCCGTTAACACTCTCCACCCCCAGCGTAAAACACTTCCAGCCACAGACTGTGACTCCTGCTCCCATCTCCCCGACTGGACGGATTCAGAACCCGGTGGCTTTCCTCAGTGCTGTTCTTCCCTCGCTTCCTGCTGTGCCATCAACCAACGCCATGGGCCTGCCCAGAAGTACTCCAGCCATGTAAGTACCATAAGCCACGTGCACAGAAGCAGGGATGAGAAATACTCAGAGGAAACCAGGATGTGCTTCTGTTCAAGGGTCCAGCAGGGGATTCACTGAAATGCGAGTCATCCGTAAAGTAGAAAAGTGAGTTACTCATATATTCTGGTCATTTAATCTAACCTTTACATTCAGTTAAGGAAGGAAGGGATAGTACCTTCTATAATAAGGTACACCAAGGGTAAGATAAATTCAAGACAGAGAAATGTGAGTGTGTAAACAGATATATACAAGAATGTGGGAGCTCAGAGATTCATAAGACTGTACTAGTGGGAGAAAAGAGATTTCATGAGCTTGCAGGATAAGTCACATTCTTACCTATTGTAAGCAACAAGTAAAGTTTTGAAAGGTACCTCATAATGCAAGTTATTCTTTTAGTCCAGGTAAATCTAAGAAATAACTTATGTAAAGGTATTTTTCTGGTTGCAGTACTTTCTACATTTGAAGTCCTCCAGAAAATCTCAGGACAGTTAACGGTTTGCACACAAATACTTTAATTGACAGCCAGCATGATTTCTATGAGAAAATAGCTACCATCATATAAGCAAATAAGGATGATGATGTACTGGCAAGGTTTTGGCCTTATGAGTTTCTTCTTTACTGGTAGAGTTGAAGTGAAATCCCTTTTATGGACCATGTGAACCCAGTGTTAGCATGGCCAGCCCCAGTAGATTGGTACAGCTATTTATCCATAGAACCCCAAATTCTGCACAAAGTAAGGAATATAAGGAAATTATATCAACGGTACAGTTCAGGGTAGTGATAGCCATCAGTAAGTCACAATCTCCTGACTATCCCATGGATACTGCAGTAACCAATCTGTTATTACAACAGAAGAATGTGTCCCTGCATGTGTACCATTCCCCACTCTGTGTGCCAAGGAATCCTGCCTTCAAACCATGACTGCCCCCCTACTCAGAGAGCTCCCAGTTGCCCAGCACAGCCACACAATTGCCATCACCCTGTGGCGCCTGTCTGGAGGCCTTCCTGGCTCTGGCATCCCAATCAGGCACACAGCATGAAGTTATAAGATCCACAGTGAAGGTTTTAACTGTGACCAACTCAATCCTTCAGCCTGCTTTCACAATGCTGCGAGAGCAACCAAAAATCAGCTGCAACTGGCACCAGTCCCCTTCCTGCCCTTCAGAGCTGGTGTCCAAGTGCTCAGCTGCTGTTCTCTTTGCAGTAATGACATTGAACCCTTGCAAAGAGATTTCCTTTTTCTCACTGCACAGTAAGTCATTACGATCTGCCTACCAGGCAGAGCAGTTAAATATTGTTTTCTCCATTTTAGCTCTCCTGGGTCCCAGCCCAGAGCTGAATTCCTAGAGCACAACTAGAGCTCAGCGTGCTGAGATCCAGATCTTGACCTCTGCATGGGAGAGAGTCTAAGTGGGGGCACAAAAGGTCAGGAAGGAACCTGAACAGGATCTGGGATAATCCGTGAATACCTACGGAAACTTCAGCTTCCTTTTGTGGCATTATTAATGACAGTAACTCTGGTGAAGGAGGGAGAGCTCGCTGTGCCTGCAGAACAACAAAAGGGAGATACTTCGCAGAGCAATCATCAGTTATGCCTTCATCAGGAGTCCCTGTAATTAAGATCCCAACTCCCAGTGAACTCCCAGAAAGTTGCACACTTTCTAGCAGTGTCCTGCTGCTCTGCTTCAGCACTGCACTCTCACAGTCTCCTGACAGTCTTATTTAAGAATTTAACGATTTTCAAACCTTAAACAGACTGCATCTATAACATAAAAATAAAAAATAACTGTTGAGGTTAGGTATCATAAAAGGGTGAGAGAAATAAAAGAAGCAAAAGTTCATGGAAAGAGTAAATGATCAATGAAGATGTGAGATAAGGATCGATGACAAATTGTATTACCTTTTAAATTATTGTCTGATACAGTCATACGTACACATTGTACACCTAAGGTAACTCCTACACACATTTCTTTAGCATTTACTGTGACCTAATTATTGCAGGATAAATATAAATGGAACTGAGATGCTTATTATACTATTATAATGCTTATTCTCTATAGCATGTGTGGTTTTAATTCCTACTGGCATGGGAATGGGATGCACCATTAAGATAGTACCAAAAAAAAAAAAAATCAAATGCTGTATTGTGGTTTAGCTACTATGTAAATAAATAATAGGTTCCTCCAGACAACTGAAGTGTAACACATCTGTCACACAGGTGACAAAATATGTATATACTGGTTGCTGCATGTTAGTATCAGAATTTTCTTTTAATAGCCCAACCCAGGGATCAACAAAGAAAAATCTGAAGCCTCTGCCATTAGCAACAAGTGATTCCATTCGGGAAAATAAAGCTGCTCTTTTAAAGGACCTGGAAAGAAAATTGCATTTCAGAGAGGATGCTAATCAACACAGCAGTCAGCAGGTAAGAAAATCAAGTCTTATTAAAATAAGTTTTCACTCATGAACAAGGCACGTATTACGACGTGTGGAACAAAAGGTGTTTGGGTGGCTGAGTTGCTACACTGCTTTGCAGGGTGAGCTGTGCTTTGGAACAGCAAACTGTAGCTTTAAACAGGAAGCATGAGGGGATGCAGCTGTAGAAGATTTAGTTTGTGACTCACCAGCATTTTTCATTTCTGATCATCTCAGAGGCTGGTAGGAATGTAACACTTCTTTGTTTGCACGGAAGCTTCTGGACAGCAGCTTTCATTTTTTTGCTTTACAAGTTGCTCAACTTAAAATTAAAGAGTAATCAAACTGTTTAAGAAAAGGTTTTTGTTTTTTCTTTTGGTTGAACTAAAGTAGGGGGTCAATTTTTAGCATTAAACCTATTTTTCCAGATCTCCAAATTTATATGAATCAACAAGGACTTTTTGGGAACTTTATTATTATTATTATTGTTATTATTATTAATTATTATTTATTATTATTAGAGTTTAGCAAAATAACAAGCCTTTTACAAAGTTCAAGGAACTAAATATCAGTTCATTCTTAACTGGAATTAATAAATTCACTGGATCTGGACACTGTCTATGAAATTAAAAAAGAAATAGGACACACTAAGGGTTGTTGGATAGTTGTTCCACCTGTTGGTGATTATTCTTCTCTCACCTTGGCCATGGAGCCCTCAACAGCTGTACCACCAGCTCAGGCTTAACCCAGCAAATTAGGTTTCACCCTGATCTGTTGTCAAGGAACTTTTCACAGTGTCCATCAGCCCTTCTGACAGAGAACATGCAAAGATAAGCAAAAAGCCACGGAGTCTTTAGAGCAAATTACCCTCTGTGGACAACTGCAGTGTAATCCCTGTTTTTTTTTAATGTTGCTGTTGACCTTTCTTTCTGGCAGATCACACTGCCAAAGCACTTTGAGTAAAACAGCTGGCAAGCACTGTGTTTTGCAGATGAATCACAAGTGTTGCAAATTGTACTTGCTACAGTAGTAAGACAAATTATTTAGAGAGCTACTGTGAAATACCAGTCAATCTCTTGAGTTAACTCCATGATAACCCCTTTAGAAACAACGATAACTACTAGTCTCAAAGTTATCTGCTGACAGCAAAAATTATATATACACACTTATTTGCTATCCTGGAGGAGACCAAAACTAAATCTTGATTCTCCAATTCCTCAAACACTGAAAAGCCTCAAAGCTGACACTTCTCTAATTGTTATGGTAATTATAATGCCAATGAACTAAACAACAGTTCTGGAATTATTCAATAAAAGTTCCCTCATTTTCCTCTCGGTTCCCACCTTCTGACTTTACTCTTCCACATCCAGGAAAAGCATGGCTAGACTTCACTGTTAACTTCAGCAACTTCTGGTCTGAGTTTGCTCCTCAGTGGAAGCAGTGATTTTTTTAAATAGATGAGAAGATGAACAGTATTTCCCGAAATTCCTGTTGCTTTACACTATATAGAACAACCAACATCATGAAAACAATATGTTGGAGTGCTGGATCCACACTCATAGATTTTGTCCTGTTTTTTTTCCTCTTGCAGTTAAACATGGAATTAAAAAGGAGACATTGTCATTCTATACATGGCATATCTGTGTTAAATTGATACCAGGAAAAAACACCCTGTCATTTCTGCAGGTGGCAGTCTGCAGCATTGCCAGGTGAAATTCCAAAACCTCAAAATCCTGCACAGTAGTAAAAATAAATTCATTAACTGATAACAAAGGAAGGGAGAGTGAAGAAGCTGGGCCTGGTTTATACATTTTGGTTATAAGAACTACAAACTGTGCTCACAGTGTCATTTACTATGAAGAATGTCGTGTGAATGGCAACACCGACTGGTTGTGTCTTATGGAAGACTCAGCAGCCTTATTTTTAGGACAAAGAGTAAACCTACAAGTGTTTAGAAAATTATGCACAGCCCTTACATGAATATACTCTTTACCTTTGCTAGAGAGCATTTGATAAGAAATTTCAGAGCAAAAGAGATGTGGGGTTTGTCCAAAAGCTTTTAGATCATTAAAAACCAAAGCCTTTAGAGCTGCAGATTCCAACTCATCACACAGCCCACAACACCAGTAACACCTCAACACTGAGCAAACAGAACTATCTCCTCACAGTTCCCACATTAAGCAGTCAGCTTCAGAAAGGTCCCAAGAACCACCAGAAGCTGTTTTCTAGGGCACCAGAATTACGTTTAATTCGATCACTCCAAAAATCTTCCTCAAAACCAAGCTTCGCATCGTCTCTCAAAGGTCAGCAAATGTAGGCAATTTTTGATTAAGGAGGGAAATTAAACCACAAAGACTCCTCACAGAAGCTTCTCTGCTCTATGCTAGAAATGAGAAGAGATTTAAGAACCTGACCGAGACAAATTACCAGATCTTGATATTAATGGGTACAAATTCTCTATAATTGTGGGAATGAATAGTTGAACAACCACTTGTAGCTGCCTTCTCAAGACCTAGATCTAATCAATAATAAAGTACAGATAGGTTTTCATGGCAGGGATCCTGGCTTGCAGAACTCATCACATGGGAAAGGGAACCTGAACTCCCCATGTTTGCACTCACACTCACTCCAGCTAAGTCTGTGGGAATTGGAGATGGCCACTTCATTTGCTTTCCCTTCTGTTTTCCCCTTGCTTAATCACTTTGAACTGTATTTTGAATATTGTCTAGCTGGACAATGACTTGCTAGTCTCTTCAAGGGTTTACATTTACATTTGGGTAAGCATGTCTTGTGCCATGTAAGACACCCAGTACAATTCATCTGCAAGAAGTAAATTGCTAAAATGGTACCTCTTCATGGGACATGACCAGTGAAGAAAAGCATCCATGTTGGACCTGTTGTTTTTTGATTCCCACTGCTGAAAGGGGGGCAGGGGGAGGAGAGAGAATTCAAACTAAAAAGACTTCAGTCAGAGCAGCCTAGATTAGACTGTGAAGCCAAGGAGTGTTATAGCTTGGAAAGAGACACTGAGATGCAACATAAGCCAGTTTTTTAGATAAACTGTAACATGGATTTTGAATAAGCCTGCCAAAAAGCCAACCTAGTAAAAGTTACAAAACTGGGATTAAATTGGGAAATTCGTCTAGAGTTGGCAATGAGTGGCCAACAGAATTGTTATACAGCATATGAGAATCAACATTTGAATAAAGATCCTCTAGCCTTTCTGTTTGTGGCAATTTCCATGAGTTACTAAACTAACATCAGATTATTTTGATTCTACAAGCTTCTACTAACTGTTAGCATGTATATTCACTAAGATCTGAATCTTGCTAAAGATAGATTTTTACTTCCACAGACCCAGGATTTTAGAACCTTTATTCATATACAAAGGTGCTTAGAACCTTATAGGAAATACTACACTCTATGCAATTCCTTTTTTGCCAAAAATGTTCACAGGTAGCAGAATGGCCCTGGAGTTAAATTACTTGACTCAAGATCTAGGACACCATGATCCAACTCTGCTCTGTCACAGACTTTCTGTACCACCTTAACAGGTCCCTCAGCTTCTTTAGGCCTCAATTTCTCATATGTAAAATGCAGGTAATAGCCCTGCCCTGAAGAGTGCCTTGATGTCAGGTGCTCAAAAATGGTGGTGATGGGACCAAACAGATCCATCGGAGAGACAAAACGATGTGAATCTGTACCTTCAGCAAGACTTGCACTGAGAGAAGATTTTGTTTGCCATACTGGTCAAAGTACAGCCACCCACCAGCACCCTACAACAACAGTGCCAAGGCACAGCAGGGCAAGGAGCTCCCCAGAAGGGAAGGCGCATTTCACTGCCCCAGATTTCCACTAGAGATGCATAATCCCCAGCACATTTCCTGACTTTGGCCAGTTTTAAGTCTTTTACCCTTCTAGCTATACTCTGACGATATTAATGCAACACCACCTGCTCCCCTTTTGCACGCTGTGCACACCAAACAACATGCATTACATGCAAGAGAAATAACCAGATTTCAACAGATTTCTACTCAGCATATATAGATCATTATATACAATTATAATATATATACATGATATGCATTATACTTTGTACAGCACATCACATCACTAGATAGGAGCTGGAATTTACAGTCTTTTAGCTGGTAGATAGCACAATTTTAAATATCTAGCTACTATATTAAACAAGTGTGTGAATCCCTGCCTGTAGAAGTTTCATGTTCCAGGAAAGCTGCCAAAAAAGTAGCTGCAATCCTGCATTTTGGGCTCGAAATCAGGGCTTGAACCCCTGTGCTCTTTCCCTCAGTCTCCTCAGTGTGATGAACTGCAGCCTAGTTTTAGCATTGTACCCAGTGATCACACTGACTTGTTCTTCATGTGATGCTTTACAAAATACTTGTCTGAACCACAACCACAAACACTTTGCCCTACACGACTTTCATAATCACATTCAGAAATAGGCTCATGGCTTCTGTGATAAAAGCAGTTCTTCAGAAAGCCATATTAACAACTGTGCTCTTGCTAATCCTAACAGAAAATCTACCAAACAAGCAAAAACCTCCAAGATTATATTCTCTATAAAACAGTATATTCTCACTTTTTTCAGAGATTTCTGCTCTTTGTAAAAAGTTTGGTATTACACCTTCAGTCTATGTACGTTGACGTTCAGATTTTCACAGCAAAGTTAACTCAGTCGTGTTGATTTGTGTGCAAACTTATAGCAGCACATGCACACTGAACAACACATTTAGAAAGGCAAAGACTGAAGTGTGAGCACAACAGTCTGGGGCTGTGTGAACCCTAACTTCGAAATTTTCTGATTTAAAAATGTATTTTTGAACATAACTCCTTAAAATGACCAGTCCAAACTTGTGCAGTCAGCCTGCACAGTCCCTAGATAATGACACCTGGGGCTTCCATGGGCAGGGCAGCAGCCTCCAGGAATGACAGCCCAGTGCTGACAGTGCAGCAATATGGGCAAGTTCTCACAAACTGCTCCTGTTATACCCACATCCCTCCAGAGTCACATGCAAAGAAACGTGAGAGAAAACCTGCCCATGAAAGGGGCTCCATGAAATGCATTTCTCCCTCTATCAGAACTGTGTCCAGTTCTGGGCCCCTCAGTTCAGGAAGGATATTGAGGGGCTGGAGCAGGTCCAGAGAAGAGCAACGAGGCTGGGGAAGGGACTCAAGCACAAGTCCTATGAGGAGAGGCTGAGGGAGCTGGGGCTGTTCAGCCTGGAGAAGAGGAGGCTCAGAGGAGACCTCATCACTCTACAACTGCCTGACAGGAGGTTGTAGCCAGGTGGGAGTTGGTCTCTTCTCCCAGGAACCAGCAGTAGGACAAGAGGGCTCGGTCTTAAGCTCTGCCAGAGGAGGTTTAGGTTGGATATTAGGCAGAAATTTTTTAGAGAGGGGGAATTGGAATGGGCTGCCCAGGGAGGGGGTGGAGTCACCATCCCTGGAGGTGTTTAAGACGAGATGATGTGGCATCAGTGCCATGGGCTGGGAGCCACAGCGGGGTTGGATCAAGGGTTGGACTTGATGATCTCGGAGGTCCTTTCCAACCTGGCTGATTCCATGATCATGTTTTCTTCTGCAAACAGACGTGTGCCCCTATTTCTCAATGAAGTAGTTTGTAGGAAGTTAATGTCCTCAGCATATCAGCCAGCAAAAAAAATGATACGCCGTGTACACAGAAAACTTTTTAAGATCTAAAAGAGATGTAAGGTTAATTTGGCTAAGTACAATCTGAAAATGTAAGTTTAATTTATGTTAGTTGGTTAGGCCACTTAAGACAAATTGGCACTTTTGGAGTAGATGAAATAAAAGATGTTAATTGTCTTTAAGCATTATTTGGTTTCATCTGTGAGCCATCATGGCTATAGCAACCCTACACTATTGATTTCTTATTACATACCATGACTTCTTTCGGACAGCAAGAATCTGGATAAAAAATCTGTATGAAAAACTGCTGACAACTCAGATATCTATAAACAATTCTGGGCTCTGCCATCAGCTCACAGTATTTCAATGCCTTTTAACCCTGTTGTACAGCTTTTGGATAGCTCTCTGACTTTGAGAAATCTTAACACTTTCCATCCCCACTCATTTTATTCTAATGAGAGTTCAGAGTTGCCCTCTCTGAGCAAAAATTCTTCATGAGCTTACTGTGTCTAACTTCTGAGATAACCCATTTATGCATCAATTTGCCTACTCTGTCCATCAGCCCTTTTGCCCTCCAAACACACATAACACTTGACAAATGGTTTATCTTTGTAAAGGGAATAACTGCTCAAATGTGATAAACGAGAAACATGTCTGCAAAACAGTGTACTTAGCTTTATAATTATGCTGTCATTTAACCAATATCCAGAAATAATTACAAAATTTGAGAGGTTCATTACAAAAAAAAAACTGTAACGTGTTTAAACAGGCAGAAATGGGACTCTCTGTACCATATTTGCTATGCTGCCCCAACCTTTTTCCATGTGACAAATCATTAGATGACAGAAAGGGAAGATTACTCCTACCTTAATTAATCCTTAATTAGCCTCCACATTTCCAAAGGTCAAACAGCATGTGAAATCCCTGAAAACAATTTCATTCTTAGGAGAATTACTTGGAGTATCTTCAGCTAATACTGAAAAATTCAGACACTCAAGGTAAACCTTTCTCAGTAGGTCAAATCTCTGCCATAGATTTTGCTCTCTGCTGCCAAGAACTACATAAACAACATGAAGGAAACTACTGAAACCTCTCAAACGAGTGGAAGGAAAACAAAACTTCAAATGTGATCTTCAGTTGGTTAGAAATTAGAGATTCTCCGGCTTTACACCGGCGTAACTAAGATGGCAATGTGAGCCATTAAAGCAATTTGCTGACACATGCTGCAGGAGAGAAGAGAAGCTCAACAAGATGAAACTTTATGAGGCTGTTTGGTGGTTCCCAGCTGCTGGCCAGCCCACTGGGAAGGTGGCTGGTACCATCCAGGGCCTGGCTCGCAGCCTCTGGCACATCTCACTCTGCCACAGACCTGCCAGCTGGAAGCTCCTGCTTGGCAAAGAGGGACTTGCAGGAGAGTGTCAGAGAGCAGACTGCCCCTGTCAGAGTGGGAGGGAGGAAGGTGTTAAAGGGAAGGAAGGTCTTGATGGGGGCACTCAGCAACCTCAGCTCCCTGTGAATGCTCCTGGTACCCTGTAATTATCCGCACTGCTCCAAAGATGTGTGGGAGTAGCAGACCTGCAGCATCACAGGAGCAAGGAGGAGTGAAAGGAGGACTCAGTTTCCAGCAAATTCCTTTCCTCCCTACTCCGAGCTGTCTGCCTTTTCCCACCATAGCTAATCTTTTCTAGAGCTGAACTTACAGCAATCTCCCCAAAAGAGAGATTTTGGATGAAGAGACCAACACGCAACACATACCATTACCATTCCAAAAATCAGATGTTACCAGGGCATTTAGTCCACCATTGGGAACTTCCAGCCTCTTTTACTTTGTGGTTGCCATGTTTTCTTCCTCTCACCAAGTCTCACAAACCTCTGTCTCCTCAAAACTCCACTGTAATGTCTACATTTTTGGCCACTTGTCCTCTTGGCCTCCTGACAAAATCAGAAGAGTTGTTAGCTAAAATTCTGTGCTACCTCTCCATCTTTTCTCCTTACTATCTGGGAACTGCTGGTCAAGAGCCTAATCAGCAATATCATGGTATGATCAGGGATGTAAGTGCCAGTGATTTGGGACATCTGCTAGTTCTTTAGTTAATTTTCTGTAAGATTTCAGACAAGATGCATTTTCTGAACCTTGTTTTTTCAGTGAATGGAATAAATCTAAGGATTGGCTACATCCTTATTTAGTATTCACAGGTTTCTAAAATGCTATTTAAAAAAACCCCTAATAATTGTGCTTTTGGAATTACACAAGTACGTTTTGCCTTCTCAGTAACATCAGCTAGAAATCTATTCGAGTTTTAACCTGAAGGTAAATTACTCTGAAAATATTTCACTTTCTTCCTAGACTTAGAGGAATTGAGGGTTTTTTTTTGCTGTCTTTGAAAAAATTCAGTTTCATTAGTTACATTCTGCAAACTTAAGATGCAGTACCTGTGTCTGCAAACCAAATTCACAGTTTCACTCATTTCAGAAGTAGTGTAAAAGTGCCAACGGCTGCAAATACCTCAGAACATGACTGGTTTAGTTCAGAACTGTGCCTCTCTCATCCTGCAGGAATACAGGATTTCAAGCTTTGAGCAGAGGCTGATGAACGAAATAGAATTTCGCCTTGAACGAACCCCGGTGGATGAATCAGACGATGAAGTCCAACACGAGGAAATCCCTACAGGCAAATACATAGCACCCATCTTTGATAAGAGACTCAAACATTTCCGGGTAATGGAAGGATCCCCTGTCATATTCACCTGCAAAATAGTTGGAATACCTGTTCCTAAGGTAAGTCATTCTCACTGTTACCAGTAAAGGAATAAAAAACAACTACCTACCATTTTCTATACATTCCTCTGGAAAGTCTCACTACTCAGAACATGGCTCTGTGGAGAGAGTTCTAAACGTAATCGTTCCCCCTTCCTTTCCAAAATAACAATATCTGCTCCTGAACATGTATCAGGCCTTGAGGTACCATAGGGACTGCCACAAACCACCTGACTGCAAGAAAAACAGAACTGCATAAACCCTCAGAAAGTCAACTGCTCAGAAAGACTAGAACCGACCTGAGATAACCAGTAACGTGTCTAGAGCCAAGAAAACAGAACCTGACAGGTCCAGCTGTGATGTGAAGCTCTCAGAGCTCAACCTGGAATCATTCTAGTTCACATTATAACTGATCTGCAAAGTTTATAATACTCTAAAATTTTTACTAGCTATTGGCCCACTTGTGTCATGTTCTTATCTACGTTTTTCTAGTCCCTGTTCCACTACAGAGCAAGTGTTAAGTCACAGGGGGTGTGGGGGGGGTCTGATCACTGCAGGTGTACTGGTTCAAGGATGGCAAGCAGATCTCAAAGAAAAACACGCATTTCAAAATGAACAGAGAAGAAGATGGAACATGCTCTTTACATATTGAAGCTGCTACCAACGATGATGATGGCAACTATACTATTATGGCTGCAAACCCACAAGTAAGATGATTTAGTTTCTTTTACAAAAATGCTTGTTTCACCTTTTTCCTAATATATATTAATAGGAACAGAGATTGGGCCACCTAGGCTAACACTGAGTGGTGACTGTATCATAAATTAGATGCTTCAGAGCATCTATTCTTCACACATCCAGTCAAAATCATTAAGGACAATTTTCATGTCAGTAACTTCTGCCCACTGATAGGTACCTTTTGAGATGTGGCAACAAGACATGATATTTCAGGCAGAAGAAATATCAATTCAAGCAAGGAGAAACAAAAAGATACATCAAGTTTGGAAGTGTTACCAAACATAATTATTCTTTAACTAGGATGCAAAGACGTGGATCTGCAAATAGTTTCATCCCCCAATACCATTCTCCTTCAGTGAGATTAGCTCAGTGAGAGCTAATCTCCTTCAGTGAGAGTGCTAGATTAGCTTTTTATTTAGAAGTACATTCAAGCAAATCAAGCAATTTTTTCCAGTTTCAATTTTTGCTCCTTTCTGAATTGTATTTCTTCTCGGGTTCTGTGTGGCTGCACTGACGAGTACGTCAGTACAAAGGTACTGGCAGACAGCACCTGTGGCAGGAGTAAACAAGCAGGGACAGGTAGTGCTGAAGCTGGGTCACACAGCACCACTGTCACATGCATTGCCACAGCCTGGAAGGGTCACAGAAACACACTGCTCTAGATACACAAAGGAACTCCTGTCTCAACTGCACTCTACTGCAGGCTGATAGCATTTGCTTTGGAGAAGTAACATTTGGACTACAGTTCAGCTACTTTATAAAAATAAATCCTAATGCATTGTAAATGTCCAGTGTTTATACTTTAAAATGAAATAAGCTATTAACCAATTATTAATTCTGTTTCCTTTGTGATTTGCAGGGGAGAATCAGTTGTTCAGGCCACCTGATGGTTCAAAGTGTCCCTGTGCGGAGCCGAATAACAACAACTCAGCCTCACAGGTGAAAGAAAAAAGTCCCTCAGACCTTTTTAATGCTTCTCACTGAAGGCATCCAAACTAACCAGCTACTGTACTTCTAGGCACTCACTGAATTTCTGTTCTCAATCCTAAAATGGAAGTAACAGCAGCACTTCCCCTCCAACATAGGTCACTTCTACATTGTAATATTTTTAACGTCGTCCTCAAATACAGGGAAGTTTGATTTCATTTACCTGTTGCAGTGAAGCCAAAGGCAAGGGGTGGATTAGCAAGATGCAATTCAGCCGAAAAGAAGCAAAAAGAAGCAAGGCCAGCTTGGGAATCCCAGGATATTACATGATATAGTTAACTTGATAACCTTTCTAAATGGAAAATATGCAAGAATTCAATTACAATCAGCCCATTTCTTTCTGCCCTTTTCTATAACTCAAGCTATCTGTTCCTCCTTTCCCCTAATTCCTTCCCTTTTTTAAGCATTAGGAAAAAAAGGTTTGACTTTCAAACACACACATGCAATTTTTGTGTTGCAGAACACGACCCCGAGTGCCAGAAGGAGACAAAGAGGCAGTTCAAGAACGCTTTTTCAGGCCGTACTTTCTACAGGCTCCAGGTGACATGGTAGCACACGAAGGGCGACTTTGTAGGTTGGATTGTAAGGTATTCACTGGTTCCTCTGTTCATTCTCACTTTTCCTACCTCTGTACGCGTGTTGCTTGGTGTTTTCACGCTCTTTGTTGCTTGCATGAACATTTTTCATTCAAGTTTTAATGCTTACTTTTTAAAAACTCTTTCTTGTTGCCACTGTCTCTGAGCTGATTCCAGGGATTTCTCTTGAATACATGCTCTATGGACTGAAGAGCACAGAGAACACAACCCAGAAACAGAAGGCTCACTTGCAAGGTTGTTCAAATTACTAGATACGTTCACCATGTCCTTTACCAGTATAAACTCCAGAAGTCCTGCTCCATTATCAGATTCTTGAACATAATCCATAATAGCACAAAATGGTGAAAAGAGAGGATTCAGCACATTATATTGTGTTCAAGCAAGTGTTCCCATTGCATTGCACTGAACTACTGAAGGTTAATAGTCCCAGAGAAGAGGGAACAGAATCCAGTTTATTTTATGCTTCCCCAGCATGCACAGATGCAGAAACATCCCCATTAACTGATTGAAATCTCAGCATGAGGGAGCTGTCAGAGGTTAGAGGGCACGTAGTGAACATCCTGTGATTGAATACCCTGAAGAAAACCATCTGCTCCAGCATACTTTGGTAGCCCCTTCATGTCCCAGTAGCACAGCAAAGGTGGTAATGCTGACACTCACCTCTTCCATGCTCCAGAATGTCTCCTGCCCTCAAGTGGGTAGAAACTCTGAAGCACAACTTAATGCTCTGAGGATGAACAAGATTCATTGTTACCTCATTTATGACATAAAGTTTAGCAGGAGCATGCCAAAGAACTTGGTTATTCCTAGTTCTGCTATCCCAGCAGAGCTCAGGAAGCCTTAAAGCATGTCTACTATTGCATGAACCAGAAGAGAGCAGTGCTCATTCAGGCAAGTTCCACTTCCTCCTTTTTCTGCTTTGTAAAATATTGTTTGGAAAGCAGTATTTTAGACATGAGTAAGTACTGCTACCCCTTGGAAAGATTTTTAACATTATAATACAGTCTAATAGTATAACAGTATTTAAAAAAAAAAACTTAATCTGCAGTGTTCTAAAGCACATAAGTTCAACAGCTACAAAGTATTAAATCATTTTTCATCACATTTTACAAAATATAAAGTAATTTGTATAGAACTCTTCTTCATCTCTATTAAACTCTGTAGTGTTTTAGATCCAGGGTTTTGATTTATATTGAGCACAAAAAAAAAAAAAAAAGGAAACCAGCAGATTATTAGGAGTCTTTTGTGAATCTCATATTACAAAGTTTCTTCCTTTCTGACTAAGAAAAAGGAAAGCATTACTTGTATTTTTTTCTCTTTTTGCTTGCTTGTTTTCTCATTTTCTCCCTTTTGGAACTGGTGAGCAGACAAATAGAAGCTGAGAAATAGTTAAAAAACCCAGAATCTTTCTGACCTATATTCTGACATCATTCAGAGGGTATCTGGGAAAAAAAAAAAAGCCTACCTACAAATTTACTGAACTCTGTCTGTCAGTGGGACGTTGGTCTCGAGCTCTTTCCCTGTCTGTTAGGTGAGTGGGTTACCAACTCCAGACCTGACGTGGCTCCTCAATGGCAAACCTGTGCTACCAGATGGCACCCACAAGATGCTGGTCAGAGAGACTGGAGTTCACTCTCTGCTGATTGATCCTCTCTCCCAAAACGATGCTGGAACTTACACCTGCCTTGCCACTAATAAAACAGGACAAAATTCGTTTAGTCTGGAGCTCACTGTTGTAGGTAAGAAACGCTGAAAAACTAGACAGTGATGAAGTTACTTGTACATGCCTCTTCCAACTTGCCTCACGTGGTTTCCTTACAGACAAGTATAAATAAAGAGTTAATGCACTGAGACCAGGAGAAACCAACAGCTACAAAACTCCTCTGATGGAGGGAAATGCACCTGGTGTTCAGTTGACAGGGACACTCCTGTCACTAAATAGAGGGCTGTAAGAATTCTACCTTACCTCTCTTGTCTGGGAAAAATGATCCTTAATTTTCTCCCCAGAAAATCCTTAGCTTTTTAATTCACAATATATGTTGAGGTGTCCTAGATTTCAGTCCAAATTTTATTGAAAATGTTTCTAAATAGAAAAACATAAATCTGAATACTACTCTTTAACAAAGCCTTTCAAGATCTGAGATATTGAATTTCGTAAGTCTAGCATTAATTTCCTGCAATGGTAGTATGTTTAGACCCACCAGAGATGCATCCATTCTTTTGCAAGCTTCAGTTCTGTCTATTTACTTTATGTTCCCTTACAGAGGCTATATCATGACATTTCACTTCCCTTCCACTAAAAATTCACTGCCTATTTTGATGTCACAAGAATAATTTTTGATCGTGTTCTTCCATACTGTTTAAAGCAAAACAATTATAAAATATCTGTTGTTCAACAATTCTTTTTCCAGCAAAGGAAGTAAAAAGAGCCCCCATGTTCTTGGAGAAGCTTCAGAACTGTGGTGTTCCAGAAGGGTACCCCGTCAGATTAGAGTGCAGAGTTGTGGGAATGCCACCCCCCGTATTTTACTGGAAGAAGGATAATGAGACCCTCCCATCAAACAGAGAGAGGATGAGGTACTGTACCATTAAACCCATGCTTGAAGTTTCTTGTGCTTGGACCAACTGTTTTTCTGTGAAAACCTGTGTGATAAGTACAGATGGTGGTGTTTTTAAAACAACTTCTTTCACCTACAAAAAGTTGTAAAAGGCTTGCTCTCCTGTGAGGTGAACAATGGCTATTTCTTTGGCTCAGAAAAAGGCATGGAGCATGACACACCACTGCTTCAGAGAGTGGGGACAGAGCTGATAGGCCTGATAGAGCACATGAATCTCTTCAAAGACACTATGATACAGTATTTTAATGCATTTAGGCACCTTATTCTCTCAGAACTAGACTGAGGAAAAAACAGGTTAAACTATGTATGAATTCCAACTCAGAACAGCTAGAACCTGGTTTTGAGTGCCCCTGAGCATGAGATGATGGAGCTCATCATATCAGACACAGAGGCTGATAACCAAGCTGGTCAAAAACAAAGGCAAAGATTTTGATCCATGCTTAAAAAAAACAACCCCTCTGCTATTTCAGACTGCCTGCCCCAAAGGCTTCCAGTGGCTCAGCACAGATCCATGGGCAGCACTGTTCTTGTTTGTCCTCTCTTGCCTCGCTGTTATCTTCCTGCCTGAATCCAAGAGATGTTTTTGTATCACTATATGGACACAAACCAGCATCTGTACCACTGCACCCCCAGCATAAGGCAAATTATGTAGTGCAGGGAGCAAAAGGTGAATGTTCCCTTTTATATTAGAGCTGTCGGAAGCACAAAATGTCCTCCTGACCTCAAAGTCTGTGGTTTCATTCTAGTTCATAAGGAAACAAAATCTCAAACTTCAGAACATCCTGCAACTTCGAGTGTTCTTATGTGCTCATCTCCCAGCTCTCCCTTTATAATGAGAGAAGCACTTGGGTTGATAAAAAGGACCAACCTCGCCCTAGACAGCAGAGAAGTCTCAGTTCTACACTACTGAAAAGTTTTTCCTGGAAACTGCAGCCAGAAAGTCTTAGATTACCAAAGAGCAAAGGAAGCAGAGAGAATAATGAAGCAGGTTTCTTTTAGAGTGTTGGCCAAACAAATCTTGCAGATTTTGCCACTCTGTCATTTTCTCACGGAAAAGGGTGCCCCAAAAAAGCTACTGCCTTTACTGTTGTGAAAAATACCACAACTTCATACAAGTGTTCTTGGTATTTTGTTATTCTTCCAGTTTCTGAACCAGGAGAAAATACAGTATGACTGCACGGCAGATTTGCATGGGTTTAGTTCATTGGAATTCAATAAATAATTCTAATATTAATATATGCAGAGCAGCAAGTCAGTTCCCACTGTCACACCATGGCTGTGCACAAAGGAGAGCAGCCAGAACAGATTTCAGCTACTCTGATCACTGAAAGTAAATCTATTGACTACAACTTCCTCCTGAGGGGAAGAGGGGCAGGCACTGATCTCTTCTCTGTGGGGACCAGGGACAGGACCCAGAGGAATGGCCTGAAGTTGTGTCAGGGGAGGTTTAGGTTGAATATTAGGGAAAGGTTCTTCCCCCAGAGGGTGGCTGGGCACTGAACAGGCCCCCCAGGGCAGTGGGCACAGCACCAAGGCTGGCAGAGCTCAAGGAGTGTTTGGATGATCCTCTCAGGCCCATGGTGTGACTCTTGGGGATGGTCCTGTGCAGGGCCAGGAGTTGGACTCAACAATCCTTGTGGGTCCCTTCCAGCTCAGCACAGTCTGTGATTCTGACACTATAAAGAAGCAGCAGTCCAAGACATTTGAGGATAGAAATTACGACATACCTATTTCATATTTAACACACATATTTTAAAATCTCGAAGTTTGATATGCTCTTGAGAAACAGTAATTCCCAAACCCTTGTTTTTTCCCAGCATGCATCAAGACACAACAGGGTACGTCTGCCTCCTCATCCAGCCTGCCAAGAAAGCAGATGCTGGCTGGTACACCTTGTCTGCAAAAAACGAAGCTGGTATCATCTCTTGCACTGCTCGACTTGACATATACGGTAGGTACTGGCTGGTGAATAAAACCAATCAGAAATTATTGGCTTTGACTGGGTTTGAAATTGGTGTCACAGCATGGCCACAGGTTAATAAGGCCCCCAGGAGGAGGTATAATGATACAGCTAAGTGGCCAGACTAGCTCTGCTGCATCAGCTTAGAGGCGGGTAAGGAAAAAAAAAAGCTCTAGAAAGAGTTTTGCACAATATTCTCTACTCCCATTTCCCACCTTTCAGATTCCTTGGACACATAAGCATATAAACACGTATTCAAGCTGAACCTTAACTCTGGTCCCTCTGACACATGCCTCTGCCACAGTCCTGACCCCAGATGGAACAATAAATTGCACACAAGAAAGTGGAGCCCTTCTTCCACAGAGCGTGGATGGGCCAAACTGAGCCCAGCTGATGAGGGCTAGTTTACATCTAGTACGTTTGTCTAGAACAAAGAAGGCCCCAGCCCACTTCAAGAACTACAGCCCATCATTTAATTCCTCTTTTATCTATGCAAGATGCAATAGTCAAAGCAGTTTATCTAGAGCAAGAGAGTACTTTGATCATTTAAGCAGCTTAATAAAACAGAAAACATATATATTATATATATACATATATATATATAAAATATGTATTTTCCACAAACTGGCCGGATTATAACTAGACCCTCAAAGGCAAAAGAGACCAACGTTTTCGAACTTGCATTTCTAATTTTTTTTTAAAAAACCCACCTAATTATCATAAAAAGGTCACCAGTACTTCTCTGTCAGCTTCCTGCCACCTGCTGGTGATACGGGCAATAGTAATGGAAGGATCAAGAGGAGGCTGGGGAGAGGCTGATTCGAGAAAAGGGTCACATGAAAGCAAAACCAGCTATCTGAATGTTGAAACACATCAATTAAATTTTCACGTGAAGGATTCAAGGCACAAACAGGAAAAAGATGAAAAGTGAGAAATGTTTCCCAATTCCAACTGTCTTATATAAAGTATGTGAGTCATACCCCAAAGTGAGTGACAGAAGTGATTTTTCCCTGTGCTATTTTGAATAGGTGCAATTGGGGTATTGTAAGTGCAATCTGATATTTTCAATTCCACGTGCAAAGAAAAATAATATGAGTTCAAGTAGAAACAAATTGGGGGCTGCAAGAAAAAAAAAAACAAACTTCACTTTTTCAAGTATTTCCAGATAGACAGTATCAAAATTCAGCATGGAAAGATATTTCCTGTCAATGCTTAACATGCAGAATGCAGTCCCCTGCAGATGTAGATTATCAGAGTACTGAAGCCTGAACTTCCACCCATTCATTTTAACTGCTGACAGACCTATTTGTCTGATTTGGATGCAGACCTGGAGGTTTTGTATGGGTAAATAGTGGCAAAGATAATATAATTATCCCTTTTCTGAAGTGTTTTAGGAATGACAACTGCTAATAATAATAATAACTAAATATTCTCACAAAATTTCAGCAGTATTTGCTCATATGGAAACATGTTGAATGTTACTTTTAAATTACTGAGTATGTGTCTTTGGATTACATTTCATAATTTTAAAAAATAATCTAGAAAACATGTTACTACTTGTAAGCAGTAGAGGGCAATCAAAATTGTGATCACTTCCTTACAGAATTTCAAAGCAATAATACAGGGAATTTAAATGCCATCAAAAGATTTTCAGGGAAAAAAGCCCTCCAGAGGACCAAGTAGTGCAAAATCAGAGCCCTGTCCAGTTTGTTTGTCTGTTCATGCTATGGTGTGTTTTCAGTTTTGATTGCAAGAGCTTTGGAGAAGGCTCCAAAGGTTCAATCATGACATTTTGGACTTGGTGAAATCCACATAAACATTGCCATTGAATTGCACGGGGATGGAATTCCATCCGTAGGCTTCAACAAAAATACCCCACACGTAAACCACGTCAATGACAATATTTGAAGGAACACGACCTTTAAACAGAGAATAACGCTGCTGTGCTCTCCTCAAGGATGTTGGCAGCAACTTTTCGTGTCTCGGTTTTTGTTGTGTCATTGCAAACTGCACTAGAGGTTGATACAGCCCGTTCTGCTTGTGTCGCTTCAGCTCAGTGGCACCGCCAAATTCCACAACCGCTCAAGCTCCGCCCCGGTGGCAGCCGGTACGCAAACCTCACCAGCCAAGGACTCGACATCTTCCCTGCCTTCCCAGCTCCTGAGAGCCCTCTGCTCTTCTCATCCCCGCCCCAAAAGCTGGTGGAGAGTGAAGAACTTTGAAAAACAAACACTTGTTCCAGTTACACCCGCAGAGATATCAGAACTGTGAAAAAATAAATAATAAAAAAAAAAAAAAAGAAGAGGTACAAGTGAAATGCTAATGGTTTACAAGCAACTTGTTTATAATTAAGTGTACTGCTGCTGCAAATGTTGCAACTAATACATCATACAAGACTTTTGCATATTATTTTAATGCAGGATAATTGTGGTATGGAGTGTTGTGCAATAAATTCAGTACTGTGTAGTTTGCTAAGAATTACATAGTAAACATAGTTTTCAGCACCTAAAAGCCAATACCACTTTTACTTCTTGAATTGAAGCTACTGCACTGTAGCTGCCACGGTAAGGATTGATGCTGATGAGTTGGAATACTGCCAGTGAAAACATTGACATTACAGTAACAGCAATCTTAATGAGGGTAAACAACAAGACTTTGAATGTAATTCTAAAAAACATGCCAAATAATCACAAAGCACAAGTTAAAGGGGAAAGATGTAAGTCATTTTTATATGATTATTACCACAGAATCACAGAATATGCTGATTTGGGATTATCTTAGAATTTTTGAACTTCAGATTAGATAAATATAGTGTTTCATGTAGGTACAGCTGTATATCCTAAATATTTATATTTGTTTGTGTGTGTGTGTACTCCATGGATTGTGCATTCACAGTGTAAGGGTTCATAAAATAAGGTACAGGGCATGTGCATAAGGTGCCAGCTTAGAAAATGAAAACTCCTTTTGTCTGAAACATGGGCCCATTGCTGAAACTATTTTCCAGATGTGCTTCCTACTTTTTTCTTTACCCTGTTAGTGATCATCTGTCTTTAACACAGATGATAGCAAGCTTATAAGTTTCTGTCTCTGTTTCCTAATTTTTAATGTGCCCCTGCCATCTAACTCATTTTATAACTAACTGAAAAGGAATTATCATCTGGTAAACTTTTACCATCACTTAGGAAATGATCACAAGTGCAGTGTCTACTACGAAGACAGAAAATCCTGCTAATACACAAAAATTAAAAAGTTAAGCAACAGTTATGTGCAAAGAGCTAAAAAAAACCCTACTGTAACTAATAATAGTAATAAATAAGGCAAATAAATGAAAGCTCAACAGAAGGTGTTAAATGATAGAGTTGTCAATATATTTAAATATATTTAGCATTTACACAGTTGTATTAATACCTCCCAGCTCTTAGACTCTGAATGTTTAAGATGTTTTCCTGCATCTTTAAATTGCTGCTAACCCTCTTCTCTGGACATTGTTTTCAAGCATTTCTTACTTTCTGTTTGTAACATGGTTGCAGAATGCAACGAAGCCCTGATCAAAGTCACAGAAATGAAAAAAGAAATTAACAGATACTTTCATTTTAGACTATATTTGGGGTTCTTTCAAATTTAAAGTTGTAACTGAAAAAAACTAGATATGCAAAGAAAACAATGGGAAGTTATCTTAAGAGTAAAAGAACATTGGATATATCCAGAGACTGAGAAAGAGAATGCCTTTCACTGGGTTTCCCACAAATACAGCTGCTGTTATCCCTAACTACTGGTTCCCTAAGGGTTTAGAGGATGTGAATTTCTTGTACTGTGAGTGAACGCCACACAACAAAACCATCATTATAACTCTCATGCTTTTGTTAGAAATCTCGGCAATTCACCCCAGAACGATCAGACCAGAAAGCCAAAACACATTCGTACCCCGAGGCACAGAACAAACTGCAGATACTTCCCTGGGAAAGCAGAAATATCAGTTGTTGCCCATGTTGTACCTCTTCCCTGGCAAACAAAATAGAACTAATAGCTATTCAAAGTGATGCATCGAGTGACTCCAGTTACGAGGTGCCCAGCTTCAGACACATTGTGGATCTGAATTTCTCAGATAGAGAATCTACTGCTCCTCTTGTCTTCACTTTTTAAGGATGGCTTAGGGATTCCATTTTTTGCCTGGGATCTACCCTATTAGGCAAGTCTAGCTACAACAGTGATCACTTGAAACAGAGTTCTTTACACAGTACAGAAGAAAGGAACACTAGTACTTAGTACTGGCAAATATCTGGTTACCAGTGCTGGAATCACACTGCTCAGACTGCCAGCACTAGTGGTTCTCACATTTTACAACACACTCAAAAACTCAGTGCAAATTCAAAGTGCACAGTGCAAATATGCAAACCATATTTCTTCCCCCTTTCTCTGCAATTTCAGTGGAATGTCTCCAAACTCACATCATTACAACTTGAACTGACCGGCTGAGGATTAAGCGGTACAACGTTTTATAAAATGTACATTCAGTTCTCTGGAAGTGGGAGGACGAGAAGCTACTGTTCAAAGACTTTTTCCAAAGATCTGTGCAAGGAGGATTAATCCTTAGTCATTCAAGAAGGGGCCCTAGAAATCTCACCGAGAGTTAGGCTACAGAAAACGGATCACCAAAATCTGTCAGCTGAACATTCTCTCCTGGACAGTGTTTGCAAAAGGATCAAAACCCATCACATTTCCCTCCATAATGTAGAAGTCAGTAATTTGAATTACTTCCAGTGCATCTGATAGAAACAAAATCAGAATCTGATCCCAAATGGTCTGTAGTCATTACATTTTGTTAGTTAACTGTTACAGAACACTTTTCCTCTGCGTACACTGAGCCCATAAAGCGAGTCTGTACAGGCAGCTTATGTGAATGGATGTCAAATGCTGTCAGTAGTATTGATATGCTCATCACAAGGAAGACTCGACAGAAAAAGACACCAAAATTATGTTTGTTGTTAAGTGGTGGAAAAGCCAATGGAAAAAGGCTTGTGTAAGCAGCAGAGACAGCACTGAGTTGTTTAAGTTGTGGGCTTGTGAAGGATGGCACTGCCTTCCCATACTATGTCAAGCTGTGCCAGAGCCTGTGCAACCGTGCTCCTTCCTGACCAACACAGCTGCTCGTCGCTGGTGTTTATTGAAGAACTGATCTGACTCCACACTAACACAGCATTTCATTCTCTGGCTCAGGGCAGGCTAATGCAGCAACAAAAATCAATGCTAGACCTTCCGCTGAGGTCACTGTTAGCTATTAACTGCCAAAAGTCCATGAAACCACCCCAGTGTGGAGCACAGTGCTGGATCAGTACAACACAGAGATGGCCAGGTTTGTAACCTCTCAAGTGTTTACTGATTCAGAATCTTGAGGTTTATTTGGTTTCCCCTTTACTCAAAGTCCTGGTTTTGTACAAAATCAGAGGCACAGTATCTTGGAAACAAGCAGAAATGACAGCATTTGCATTGCAATTCTAGATTCAGAAAGTATTGTCTTTGCTTTAAAATTTTGGTCCAGATGGATGCCAACCCAGCCTGCAGCAGCACAGAGGGCTGCACTTGGTATCATTGGACCTCTTGCCTTAAAACTGCTGCACTGAGTTCCTTGTTTTCATCTGCAAGGTGGAACAACCCTTCCCAATGCCTCACGTCTGCCAGTGTGAGGAAATGAGAGCACACACTTCAAACAGGAGAAGCCAGGTCTGCAGTTCTTCATCTTAATACATAAACAAGTGCCAGTCCCAACTGATCACAGTAATCGTAGGTATTTCCAACAAGTCTGGAATAAGAATTCATTTAAGAACTGTGTTCTTAATGCTACCAGGTTTAAAAGCATTACTTTCTGGAAAATGTCGTCAAACAAAATGATTTACAAGACTTAACAAAATATTTATACTGAAAAAAATACTTGAGAAGTGATTCATTGAAAATTATCTTATTATTTCCAATATAAAGATGTTCACTTTGAGCTTTAAGATTCTAGTTTATATCTTTTCTTAATTAAAGTTGATATTTTTTATTTTTTGATCCAAAGTCATTCTCACTGGGAAGAAAAAATGTTAATATCAGTTTTAAAGTACATTTTAAGTGCACATGAAAGGAAAAAAACAAAACACCTGCCCTTCATCTCACCTGAACTTCAACAAATGCTTCAAAGTTGCATACAAGACTGTGTCGTTCACACATTTGGATAATTGTGAAAATGTGCAACAATCCAGAAGTTCTCAGAACTTTGCTGTGACAGCTGATTAATAGAATCAGACCTTACATTATTTAGAAGAAAATCATAAAGTACTGTCAAGTTATACACTAGCCATGCTTCTAGCAGGTAGTTGTGAAATAAAGTTGTTGCCTTTTTAAACAATTCTTGATATCAGTTTCCTTTGGGTTTAAATTATGCTTTCTTTTGCTGATAACCTCAGCCTCTTCACCTAAGGTTGAAAGAACGAGTATTCTCAGGGATAGAGAAGAACAGAACCAAAAAAAGGATGAGTGCCAACACATTTGCTGGCTGTGATTTTGCTTTCCCATAACCACATTTCCCCATTCTTACCTGATTCCTGTGTACTTCTGTGCCTGCCAGGTCAGAGAAAACCTTCTTAAGACCATTTTAGCTCAGCTGCTTCCTCTAAGCAACACAAGCTGCTTTTATTAACGCCTTTCTATTCCAAGTCCACCATAAAGAACCATTTATTGCATAATAAAAAGAAATCCTGGGCCGTATGTACTGTGAATTTAAGTGGAGTTCTCCACTTACAGCAGGGGGAATTCTGCTCAAAAACAAACATCCTTTATGATCACACAGTCTGTTAGCAGCAGGCATCATGGGTTTTTTAAAGAAATTGAAAAATATTGAAGACAATCTGAAATTTTAGAAAAAAAAAAAATTACTATGCACCCCAGGCTGCAGGAAGCCAGTCAAAAATTAACTTCTTATTCCTTGGAGTTACATATGCAGATATTTTAAGCAAATCCTGTATAAGATACATTTTGCATGCTAATTTCAGTACAAATGAAAACTGGACTACACATTAGGAAAAAACTTGTAGACAATACTAAAATGTACTCTTTGGTAGAAAATACATTTGTATATTATACAGGGGGTTGGTTTGGGGTTTTGAAAGCCACTATTTCTCAGAATGTAATTCAAGTTAAAAATATAGAGCATTTTTTAATAAGTTCACAAGTACTAGGTGAAATCAATGTTTGTTATAAGATATCTGTGTAGAGGAAACACTGGACTGCTTCTTCCATGAATAAATATGTCTTTATCCTCAGCGCATTTGATTTTTTTACCCTGGACATTTCTAGAAATAGAAGAGCTGAACATTTTTTTAGACATATTTAGAGCAAAAAGCAGATGTTCCACAAACTCTTATTTTAAAAAATCTAGATAAGTTTCACTCGTGAACCACAGAAAACTGCATCCATATTGCTCAGCTGAAATAGCTGGAATCCCAAGTGTAAGGGTATCTATCTTAAGGCAAAAGCTTCCTTTGGCAAATCAAAAATTTGTCTGGATGTAGTATTTTTTTTTAAAACTTGTGCCTGGCCAATCACAGGAGGGACTTCCACAAAGATTTCACCAGGAAAGTTTACTTAACAAGATGGAAAAAGTCAGCTAAATACAGAAATACCTAAGAAGTTGCCATGCCATTGACTTGACAAGTCTTTAATGGAGGTTGGTCCCCTTTTTACTTTTAAGAATTAGTACAGCAGCATCAATTCTTGGTGTTATTTTGGAATTCCAGTCGAGAGCTGAGTTTTGCCCTGTATGTGTGTATATTACGAGATGGGCCGTGCCCTAAATACCTTATAAATGGTGAGAATGGAAAACAGAAGCCTAAAAAATTGGAATGAATGGAAGCTGTAAGACATGCTACTACATATCTGCTAAAGATCTCAGTAGTCAGACAGGAAGCAACCACTGACTTTTTGTTACTAACACACATTTTGGGAATGCGCTACTATGTGGGAAAGCTAATTCTGCTTTCAGCCACTGAAAAGTCACTGCAGTTAAAACTCTCCCTCTAATTCCAAGCTCAAAAATAACTCTGGGCATGGCAAAACAGGGCGACATGATTCAAAGAATCAGAGAAGCAGAGTATCTGTAGCTACTTCAAAAAGAAAGCCCTGCAGAAACCCTTTCAGAAGGACAGAGGTTAATTTCCCACAAAGAGTCCATTAGAATTTCATCCTGAATTTCAACAGTGAAACATGTATGCGTGTAGAACACAAACAGATACTTAATGAAGCAAGAATTTCTCATCCCTAATGTTTTCACAGTAATGTGGTTCTAGAATTAGTGATGACTGGACAGATGTGTCAGGTGTAGTACTGATACTACAAACAGAAGCATTTTAGGTTTGCACTGCTGTTCAGTGGGACCAGGATTTATGAGCAGACAAAACCCGGTCACTGACAACACACCCAGCTCTAAGCACCTAAGCCTTTGCTTCATTTGGAGGCTTATTAGAAGCAACCATTATTTGAGGGGAGGGGGTTTCAGATGCCCATTCCAGTAAAGTCCAGTACAGAAGGTGGCTCACAGCTCCTACCTGACAAGCATCAAACAGTCAGTGGGGAACAAGTATTTGGGAGCAACAATCAAATCCAAGTTAAACAGTTAAGTTTATATTTCATGAACTGTCACTGAAGTACTTGTAAAGGAAAGTTATAAAAGGAACTAATTACTTCCTGAATAGTTGTTGAGTCTGAGAAGTCACAACCAACATGGATATTATCTGCTTTTCAGACTGCCTTCTGAAAGGATTTTTAATGATTAAAAACTTTCTCACCACACCAATTCACTCTCCAAAAAGCTTTGGCAGATGATCAATAGACAGACAGCTGTCTACACACTACAAAGGACTTACTGTGCTGCCTTCTGTACTATAGTAAACCAGAAATACCAACTTACAGCTCAAACCTGCACCCTCCCAAGAAACAAAAATACTACAGCATTATATATATATATTAAAAAAAAAAAAAAGGCACAAAACCACCGCAATTTTCCCACTGGTAATATTACTAATATTATCAATAAACATTCACCTCCCACTACCACAACAAAATCTAAGAGAATGGGAATGATAATCTTATTATAGTGCTCAACAGCAGAGATTGGTGCCATGACCTGATTTACAAGGGTTCACAATCTATGTACTGCACTAAAGCACTTTTTAGGGCTTCAGTTTCAATTCTTAATAATTTTTGGTAATGTGAGCACAGATATTTTATAGTTTGTGTTGGTTTGTTCCTCTTTATGTGAGCTTACTACCATTTAATCATTTACTGCATACTAATTTGTTTTTTTAACTATATCTATCATCATATGCAGTAGACAGTAAATTAAAATGTTGTGAGGAAGAAACAAACTTGGAAAAGAAATAGATGTCAAGTACTTTTATCTGAATTACATAAAAACTGCAGTGTCACCTCCCACAAAAACAAATCATGTGCCAGTAGAGACAGTCTTGTTCTTGAACACTACTCTGATATTTATCCTTTTGTACTGTGATCTCCTTCCCACCTCAGCTTTAGGATATCTTTCACCAATCCAAGTTTTCCATGGCATATAATCACATGATTTATTTGTATCATATTCCCATTTCTGTACGGAAAACTCACTACTGCGCCAGCAGTGCAGGTGAGACAGTGTCTGCCTAAGTTTACAGCTAATAAATTAGGGTAAGATGGCACAGCATTTAATTATTATATATATGGGAAGAATTGCATTCATTCCCATTACATACATCAACTTGTCACTTAATGATAATATTCAAACAGTACTAACTTGACCATATGATGAACAACAATCAATTCTATTGTATCTATGAGTAACGTGCTTTCATACCCCTACAAGGATGAATCTGCTTTCTGTTTGCTAATAAAGCTCTAATGTAATTCATAAAAAGCAAAGGCCCACATTTTAATAATTAACACTATTCACTGCTTTTAGAGAGGCTAAATATACAATAAAAAAAACATTCCTGTATGCCAGTGTTTAAAAGGAGAGAATTGCTCAGAATACACAGTGTCTCTTCCACAGAGGTTTAACCTGGCCTGAAAGTGTCCCAGCAGCTTCCACACCAGGAACCATCCAACTCCCACCTCAGGAAACATCCAAGCCTCACAACAGTGACCAAGGGCAAAACGTCAGGAAGGGCTCTGGCAGAAGACAGACAGTGAGGTCAGGTGTCTGTATGTAACTGCTCCTGCAGCACAGGCCCTCTCCCCCAAAGCAGGGTTTAGCTCCTATGGATGCTTTTGTTTTCTCTGAAAGCTGCTTAATTGTCAAAAATAGCTCCTATCAAAGCTAATAATTTGTCATTTGAAAGAATTCTTAAATATAAGACATGGCAGCAGCCAGCAGGGAACCTGCCAGCCTTCCCTGCTGGAAACCCACCAACAGCTGTTGTGGGACAGCAGCTCCTTTGCTCCTTCTCTCTCGTGGCTAACACCAGCCAGGGCTCATCTCAGGGAGTTCCCCACAGCAGCACCAGCAGAAGGACCCCTGAGCTTCAGCCTGCTGCCATCACAACAGGCATCAGCAGCTGAACTCCTGCAGACTCTCCACCCTGCTACAAACACATCTGCTTCCCCAGCCAGTCTGCTCCTGCTCCTTTTTTCATCTTCCCAACCTCCTTTCCTCTTCTGCCTTTTCTTCCCAGACCCCTCGGTCCCCCCCCAAGTGAAAGCAGCAAGCAAACAAAAGGCCATTCAGCACGTTACCGGGGCTGAAATGAACTCAACTGCTCCATCATTTTTTCCCAAGCTCTTATCTTTGAGGCTGTCTTCCAGAGGGTACATAAAACACACCTTACTGTAACTGGGAAGCAAGTATCATTTGGCAGCAGGGTTCTTCTGCATATTAAATTGCCAGGATTGTGATGGAAGCAGTGTAACATTTGGTGTAGGAAACTCGCTAGTAAGTAATTCCTAGAGTAGGAATTTCAGGTAGATGGTGAGGACATAGCATAGAAAACACTTTATTTATGATTTACAAAATCTGTTATTGTTTCCAGATAACACAGGATTAAAAAATAAAATCATTTAAAGTCTACAAAAATCTAAAAGTTTGGAGTATTTTCACGCGAGCATTCTCATTTATGGTATATAATCACACATGCTTTTACAACCACTAAAAATAAAACATTCTTTCCATGACTTGAAACTAGCTCTTTTTTGAGCATACAAGAAACACCATAAACTGGATTAAAGCAAACCTACACAACCTTGGAACCCATAATGTCAAACTTACAAAGTTTAAGAAAGTTAGTTCTCTGAGGACTAGAACAACGATACATTACAGAACTTTTTCCATGGGAGCCATTTCTCTGAAAACAAACCAAAGAATAAGTTTAAAGCTGACATAAAAATAAAAACATGGAACAAAGTTAATTTCTGCTGGTATTCCATTCAGTTACACCATGGGTCAACTCGTTCCATGATTTGTAGAAATACTGTCATGATTCATCACAGTAAAAAAAAAAAACAACACCAAAAACTTACTTAATGAAAAAATCAAATGAAACAATTGTCAGAAAGACTTCAAATTAAAAGTATACTTTCCACTAGCATTAAATAAATTCAATTTTCTTAAATGCATTTTGAAGTTCTCAAAGCAAATTCGCCAAATCAGTGTAAGAGGTGAACAAAATGAGCTATTATAATGCCAATGTTACCTTAGTCAAGCAGATTAACTCTTGCTAATTATTAAATTACACATCTGCTGCATATTCTTAGTTCGCGAGCTCTAATTAGCTGTTTGAAAGTGTTCCGGGTGGTAGCCGAATATCCGCTGGGCGTACGGATCGCTGTCCGCGGCCACCTTCTGTCCCGGGTAATGGTGGTAGCTCTCGGGGTGGAAGTGCTCACAGTGCAGGCTAATCCATTCCCGCTCACTACTGTACCTTTCTGCTTCAGCAAGGATTCTGGTGAGAGCCATGATGTAACTCAGGGCCATCTGCAGGGTCTCATACTTGGACAGCTTCTTATCCTGACCCCACTGCGGGACCACTTTCCTCAAGCGATCAAAGGCCGTGTTCAGTCCTTGCATCCGTCGTCTCTCCCGGGCGTTGGCAGCCAGTCTTCTCTTGGCAGCGTTCTCCAGCCTTTCCGAACTGCACTTCACAACACAGCCAGCTCCACTCCTGCACTGCACGTCTGATTCCACACCTGAATCCGAGTGACTGGATTTACAGGTTTTCATATTTGATGTAGCTTCAGTTTCACACACACACACAAGGATTACTTTGTAAAAATCAGATATTTA